ATAAATAAATAAATACAGAATGATCAGTTAAATTTTAATTTCAGATAAATAATTCTTGGCTGGGCAAGGTGGCTTACTCCTATAATCCTAGTACTAGAGGAGGTCAGGAGTTTGAGAACAGCCTGAACAAGAGCAAGACCCCATCTCTACTAAAAATAGAAAAAATTATCAGGGCATGATGGCACTAGCCTGTAGTCTCAGCTACTCAGGAGGCTGAGGCAGGAGGATCACTTGAGGCCAGGAGATGGAGGTTGCAGTGAGCTATGATGATGCCACTGCACTTTAGCTGGGGCAACAGAAGGAGATTCTGTCTCAAAAACAAACAAAGAAACAATTCTTTTTAAAGTATAAGTATGTCCCATGTAGTATTTGCTGCCCGATCATCAACTACCCTCTCAAAATGCAACTCATTTTGATATCTATACTCTGTTGGGTTTTGTGGAGTGTCAGAGAGTTGCTTGCTTTATCTGTCTTTAGTATCTCCAATCATCTCAGTTTCCAGTCTTGCAGAGAGAAGAGAGAAAGGGACTGAGATAAATAGATATAAATATCCAGAATTGACAATGATGAAATGTTTAACGAATCAAGAATCTTCTCTAATAATAACATTGGGCAACATGTTTCAGGGCTGATTATGTGCAGGGCAGCTGGCCTCCAGGCTGGCCCCTGTGACCCCCTCCTATACTGTATCCAAATGGGTCTGTGTGACCAATACCATAGAGCTGAAGTGATGGTATGTCAGTTCCAGAATTAGATTTAAAACCTAATTGCAGCTTTCATCTTGGGTGCATGTCCTGGCTTTGGGAAAAGAAGCCACACAGTGACCACCCCCTCCTGTTCTAACTCTTCACAGCATCCTTCTCCCACAGATGAGTCATGGGGGGAGGGTGAAGCTGGGAAGGTGACCCGACAGCCCCAGACAAGTCTTCCAGGACTGCAGCTCAGCCAATAGCTTGACTGCAACTTCATGAGGGACCTTGAGCCAGAACCACTCAACTAAGCTGCTCCTAGATTCCTGAGCCTCAAAAACTGTGTGAGATAGTAAATATGTGTTTTAAGCTGCTAAGATTTGGAGTAATTTGTTACATAGCAAAAAATAACTAACGTATCATGATACAATATAACAATGTATCTTCTAAGTTTATACCTTTCTCAAATCAATTCTTTGAAGTGGGCACTGTTACATTTCCTATTTTACAGAAAGGCAAACTGAAATGCAGCAAGAGCAAGTGGCTCTAAATCACCCTGCTAGTGAGCATAGTCGGGTCTGTCTCCAAAGCCCTTGCTCCTAATATGGACTTTCATAGCCTTCTATGTCCCAGCTGCTGGGCTGAGTCATCTCGGCTTTATTATTTCATCTTATTTAATTTCCACCATAGAGTGAGGCAAGGGAGATCATTTCAGATAATACCACCAGCCAACACCAGCAGAGTGCCTTCAAGTTAACACTACTTTATACTTACCTGTAAGGTAGTCAGGGAAGGTTTCATTGTCTTACCTCCAATTTAGAGATGGGCAAGCTAAGGCTCAGAGTGGTTAAGGGCTTTGCCCACGGCCAAACATAACTTGGGAGTTGGGGGCAGGTGGAGCTGGAGCTTGAACCACAGTATCCTGACCTCCTAATCCTCTCTCTCTGCCCCACTAAGCTGCTCCCTAATCTAGTTAAGGAGGGATATGTTTTCTGAAATTGCAGAAGCCTCACTCACCCACTTGCCCATTGCAGAAGTTGGGGGAGCAGGGAGGTTCCACTGGGGGCTCTGGAAACTGTTCCAGCCTTCATGCCTGCATGCAAGGGGAAGGAAGGCAAAATCCTCCCTTCTCATCTCTCTCTCTCTCTCTCTCTCTCTCTCTCTCTCTCTCTCTCTCTCTCTCTCTCTTTTTGAGACAGAGTCTTACTTTGCTGTCTACTTTGTTGCCCAGGCTAGAGTGAGTGCCATGGCGTCAGCCTAGCTCACAGTAACCTCAAACTCCTGGGCTCAAGCAATCCTGCTGCTTTAGCCTCCCGTGTAGCTGGAACTACAGGCATGTGCCACCATGCCTGGCTAATTTTTTTCTGTATATGTTCATTGGCCAATTAATTTCTTTCTATTTATAGTAGAGACAGGGGTCTCACTCTTGCTCAGGCTGGTTTCGAACTCCTGACCTCGAGCAATCCACCTGCCTCAGCCTCCCAGAGTGCTAGCATTACAGGTGTGAGCCACCTTGCCGGCCCTCATCCTTCTCTTCATTTGCCTGGGATGTGTTCCCACCAGGGAGATGAGAGGCTCAGGAATTCTGCTCTTTCTGGGAGACCCAGCCCCTTTGGCCTTTTATCCTAAATGCACAACCAATTGTTCCCTCCAGCAAAGCTCTCTGGAAGTGAGGACCCTGTGCCCACATCCTTCCATTCTAACTCTTCACTGCAGTCCTCATCCCACAGATTAGGCAGCAATTCCTAAAAGCTTGAGTCCTGACAAGCAAAAGCCTTTGAAAACAGCAAGAGAGACTGGGTTTAGAACTGAGAGCTGAGAGGAGACTTTCAAACTGAGTGCTTGTGGCAGATGGCCAGGAAAGAGTGTAGGTAGTATATTCCTTCTTGAAGACGCCTCTGGAAAGTATCTATCTTGACCTGAGTGGTGTTGGGGAAAGGTGTGGGCAGTTTGGGACCATGACTGTGTTTGTGATGTGATTCGGAAGGAAAGCTGGAGGAAGTCCTTCCAGGAATAAGGACAAACCAGATGACTCAGCAGAGTTCATCAGGCATCATGTCACCTCTTGTCTCCTCCTCTGCAGAAGAATAAATCTGTTGGCTGGTGTGAGAGGGATTAGAGAGGGAAGTAGGCTTTCTGAGTCAGCCAGTGAGTTTGAAGACCAAGCGCACTTCAAAAGCAGAGTCCATGGCAGGGAGGCTGCAGCCAGCCCTCTGAGTCACCCGACCTGGCTGCAGAGCTGGGCCTGGAATGTCTGCAGTGGCCATGGCGGGTGATAGTGGTGAGTCACTACTGGGGGCTGGAAGAGTCGGAACACCCCAAATGCTCTTCTGCTGTTCCAGCTCTCATTCCTGGGGCCCCGACTCAGAACCCAAGAAGGGCTGGGAAGTGGGGCCCTGGGTTCTCACAACACTACCGCCCATCATCCCTTCTCTACATCTTACTCCATTGATTTCCTGACTTCTGTGACTCCTTAGGCACCCCCAACCCCACGCATTCTCACCCTCTGCCTGGCATTCAGGCCAGTTGGGGTGTCCTCTCTGACGCCTGACATCCTGAAAATTCTTCATAAAGAAATGGAGGAGGGGGCTCTGATACCTCCCGCACCTCTTCCTCCCCACCCCTCCTGTACACCTGGACCTGCTGCACAGGACTCTGCAAGACACGGCGCATCTTACTACGAAGTGGACTGGCTGGCTGCGCTGCCAGTTAGATTTATTGGAATATTTTGTTCATGTCCAACATGCTTCCAATCCCCAGAAACTCCTCAAGGTCATCTTTCCCTTTTCCTGCCTCCCTGCATTCCCTGTGGGGGGCATGTGGGTACTCTCTGGGAATTTGGCTTCTTCTCTGATCTTCCCCCTCCAACTCTCCCCACATTTCCCTATTGCTCTCAGGGAGTGTGCAGCTTGCAGACTTGAGCAGGAGCTCTGGGCTTGAGGGCCCTTCTTGCATCCTCTTCCCCAGCTGCCCTGCCCCTCTCTGCCCCCAGGGCCCAGGCCACTGTCTCTCTTGTCTGTCCACTGCATGAAGGCCAAAGATCAAAGGGAAATTGGGAGGGGGCTACAGAGGGTGGGTAGGGGTGGACTTAAACACACCGGTCGTCAAAGCAGCCCACCCCCAAAACCAATCCACAGATACCAAGGTCACTGGAACCCATCATAAAACTTTCCTTGACTCCAGTTTGGGATTGGATTTAGGGGTCCCAGGGAATGATGTCCTCTTTTCTTGAATCCTTTCTGCCTCCACACAGGGGTGACCAGGTTTTGACACAAACCCTTCTTAGCACATTAACTGTGACTCACAGCAGAAAGCAAGATCACAAGCAGCCCCCATGTCCCCCTCAGAGGTCAAATCTGAATTGATGTTTAATTGCTGCCCATTGGTAGCTGGGAGATAGAATTCAGAGAGCTTGCCTAGGGAGAAGGTTTTCTAGATGGTGAGAAATAGGTGGGTGGGTAGGCGAGGTTTCCAGGAGGCAGAAAGGTGAGTGGCCCTCCAGGTCCTGGCTCCTCTCATCCCACACACGCACTTAATTTCATGCTAGATCTGCACCCGGGCTGCAGAGTTCACCTGGAAAGGAAAGTAGCCTTTATTAGGACCTGGAAGCAATAGGCAGAGCAGGAGCTGGGCTGATTATGGTTCCAAGTGCCCGTGGCAGTGGAGAAGAGGGAGCCTGGAAAGGAAGTCTTGGAGGTCTGCCAAAAACGCAGTCTGTGCCCTGCCCCTTCTAGACTGAGAGCCCCTGTGGACAGGGCCATGTGCTCAGTACTTGGAGAAAGGCAAAGAGAGTATCCCAAGGAGTCACTAGTCTGAGTGGGGACACACAGCCCTTAGCCTCAGGAAGCCTCAGTATACTGGGGACACGCAGCCCCTGTCTGATCAGGGAGAGAAAGCCCCTGCCTTGGAGAGCCCTCCAGTCTGATAGGGAGGCACAGCATGACCTCAGGGTCCCCACGCTGATGGGGGAGACAGGATGACCCACTTCTATCATATAGAAGAGTAGGGCATTTGAGGAGAGAGGCTTTATCTCCTAAATCTTTATGGAGTTGCAGTTATGCCACCATCCTTTGAGTCCCCACTGTGCAAACGTGCCTCTTTCCTCCACTCTATTCTGCCCCTAAGCAGGAAGACAGCTTGAGTGCAAGTTCTCAGTTCATCCAGCTGTCACTAGGAAAACCCCCTCTTTCATGTTCCCTCAACATCCTCAAGCCCTTTTCTCAGCCTGCCGGTACACCCCTCTGGGCATGATGATGGGGGCATTGTCACATCACCAAAGTCATGGGCCGCTATCCAGAGACAGGGTTCAGATGACTGCAGCCCACGCTCTCCCAACCAGAAGTGGCCTCCTGCCTGGTGGGAGCGTCCTCCCGGCCAGCTAGTGCCCCCTTAACCTAGTCTGCCATCCTGCAGCACCCTTTCTAACCGGGGCCACCTACAAAGGAAGTGGGGCACAGACTAATGGGCCCTGTGCCCAGAAGGGAGGAGGAGGAAGAAAAAATGGGGTACTTAGGGTGCCCTACCCACCCACAGGCAGGCCCCAGACCACAGCTGGAGATATCCAAATGTTAATCACCAATTAGCACAGTTCAGGTGGAAAGGGCAACTCTATTATGTGTAAAATGAACTTAATGTGGCAGGAGCTGTGGGCTTAATTTCTTGAGATAAGATGCTTTTAGGCTAATCAGCGGGTCTAAGATGCCTGGATATAAAGGAGCTGGGCAGACTTCTTCAGCAGTCTCCGAAGGTCCAGAAGTAGGAGGAAGGGACCCCCATCCTGTCCTTCTGGAAGAGCTGGAAAGAAAGTCTGGTAAGAGAAGCAACAAGGATGGATGAGATGACCTGGGAGGAGGTGGCTTTTGGCAACCCTGAGATGCTCCACACCCTGGTATCTCGCTCTCTTTCTCTGTAGGAGAAATAAGAAGGTAGCTCCGTGGGTTCGTTTAACACTCATGTGACCAGGGCAGGAAGATCAGGTCTTGCCACCCACCCATCTCTAGGTCTAGCTTTGATTTTCAGGGCTTGGGGAGAAAGTTCTCCACTGTTCTCCATTTCTACTGAAGACCCACTAAATGAAATGAGTCAAGCCCTCCAAAGAAGGATATAGGTCAGACTTTGGGAAGGACTTCCCTGTGTGGAGATAGTTAAGCCTGAGAAGGGGAAAATAGGATGGTTCTATGTGTGATTTTCACTTAGGGCAGGAGGGCTGCAATGACAGACGTAACAACAAATTGAAATGCAGGAAGGCTGGTTGATATGAGCTCTGGAGGGTTCTAAGGGGCGAATCTTGCCAAACCACATGATATATCTAGGAGCCAGGGGAGGGGGGATGTCCAGGCACACGGGTCTTTACTTTTTTTCTTCCTGAATCTCTCTCCTCTTTCCCTTCTCCTGCCCCATTCAGATTCCACTTTCAGGCACCCCCACCTCCCCAAGATGTTTCTCCAGCCTCTTAGAAAAGGTCCCAAACCTAGGTCTCAGCCCCTTCCCACTTTGGGGGCTTGCCTGGGCCCTGAGGCCCCCGTGGGGCATCACCTACTAGCTGCTCCCTCAGCACATCCTGGCCTTTTTCCCTCCCCACTCAGGAAATAACCCTGGAAGATGGTGGCCATGAAGATGTTCTCTATGCTGCTGGTGCTCCTGTTCTTGGCAGTGGGGTTTGGAGAGAAGGAAGAGGACCGTCCCTTCAGGTAGGGGTGGTGGGGAGGGAGAGGTCAGAGCAGAGGAGGGACTGGGGCTGACCAGGTTCTGCACTTGCTTCAAGGGGGAAGTGAGAAAGGGAGGGATCCCAGGCTAAGAGGAAGGAAGCTAGAGGGGAAAACCTGCTAGCAGTCTGAGTGCAGAGTGAGCACAGAACAAGAGTGTTTATTTTGAGCTACTGCTGCAGTGGAGAGACTGTGGTTAGATCTCTGGAAGGACTTCTCAGTGGTTAAATGTCTGAAGGAGATGGCAGAATCTGCCTTCCTAATGAAAGCTTAAATTGTTCATGTATGCATGCATTCATCATATCTCACAGAGGGTCTCGTGTGCACCAGGCACAGGCGATGTATGTGTGCAGTGGCCCACTGATGCCCCCTGCCTTCGCAGAGCACACAAGCCCAAGGGGGAGGCAGACAAAGAACCACATAGGCATGTCGCACATTGTCATGAGTCCTGTAAGGAAAAGCAGAGAATATGACCAGTGACTATGGCAAGGAGCTCTGGCTGTGTTTTCAGAACCAAGAAAGACTTGTCTGAGTAAAGAGTTGGGCTTTCTCACATGCAAGGACAAGCCACATGCCCATGTACATTTGGCATTTGTAATTTGTAAATCGGAGGCATGGATGTCAGAAACACGCACAAGGAGAGATAGTATTATGCAGATGTTAAGAACGTAGACCTGAGCCCAGACGCCCGGGGGTAAATCCTGGATCTGCCACCTACACCAAGGGTAAATTAATCTCTGCGCCCTGATTTCCTCATTCACAAAATGGGGATATAAACAGAACCTACCTTTTAGGAGTGTTGGCAGGATGAAATGATTTTATACATTGAAGGGTTTACAGAGTACCTGAGTCATAGTACGTGCTTTTATATGAGTTTATTGTTACTATTATTGAATGTGAACCAAAGAACTGAATCAGGAAAGGCCAGGGCAAGAGGAATAAAGGAGGGAATTGTGTGATTCAGTCCTTTGGGATGAGGGAGATCCTCATCCCTTTTTGCCCAGAATCTACATTAAGCCACACACATTGAGGATGCAGGAAGGGGGCCCTAGAGCTGCAGATAAAGTTCCAGGGGTCCTTGCATCGACGACATGATGTCTCCATAACAACTGACAAATGTCTGCGTCCTGTTAGTGTCAATCAGGTATCTTGGCATTGTGATTGTTACCCCCTCTCTGCCTCTTTTCTGGAATCCTGGTTTCTAGCTCTCTCCTCTCCCTGCCTCTCAGATCCTATGCTAAGGTGAGTGGCTCCCGACCTCAAGGCCCAAGGTATGCCGAGGGGACTTTCATCAGTGACTACAGTATTGCCATGGACAAGATCCGCCAACAAGACTTTGTGAACTGGCTGCTGGCTCAAAAGGGGAAGAAGAATGAGTAGGTTGTCGCGTGCACCCCCCACCCCCTGCCTTCCTTTGTACATTCAGACCAGGCTGCCACCCCTGGCTACATGGGCCGTGATATACACAACTCCAGGTGGCACCTTTCATTAGGGGAAGATAAAGACTCTGACTCAGCATTAGTCTATGCTAAGGGGGCAGAATGTGGGACGTTCTCCAATTCTTTTTTTCTTTTTCTTTTTTGAGACAGAGTCTCCTTCTGCTGCTGGGGTTGGAGTGCAGTGGCATCATCACAGCTCACTGCAGCCTCAGACTCCTCGGTTCAAGTGATCCTCCTGCCTCAGCCCCTGAGCAGCTGGGACTGCAGGCGCTCACCACCACGCCTAGCTAATTTTTACATTTTTTGTAGAGATGGGTCTCACTCTTGCTCAGACTCAATTCTTTACTTCTAAGGGGAGGAGTTGAAAAATATGTGGGAGCTCAGAGAGGATCCTCAGGGGGATGGGGACAAGGTAGGATGAGCTGAGCTGCTGCCAGTGACTGGGGGTGGCTGCTTTAGACTTTGGAAATAGGATCAACTGTCTCCTCTCTTCTCTATGGCAAGTGTCTTTCTCAGCCCTCTCCATTTTGTCAGCAATGGTAGATTCTGAAAAGCTGTTGGCTGGTGGAGGCAGCTGAAGACAAACAGTGGGTTGGTTAAAAGAGGTACCCTCTGCTCCTTAGGGCTGAGGTACCAAAACATTCAAGTGTTCCTGGACTGGAGTCTCTGCCAGCTCACCCACTCCCTCCCTAATCTTTATCTTGCCAGCTGGAAACACAACATCACCCAGAGGGAGGCCCGGGCCCTGGAGCTCACTGGTCAGTCTACCAGGAAGGAGGAGGAGGCAGCTGGGCAGCAGAGGTGAGGCAGCCCACTAGGGAGGGACGAGCAAAGTCTCCCGCCCCACCCCCACCTTATTGTTCCCTCTCCCAGACTCCAGAGCAGGGCCAGGGCCTGCCATAAGCATCCTTTTCCTCTCGGAGTTCAAAGAGGGGTCTTCAGTGAGCAAATTCCTGGAGGTCAGGTCAGCAGGAGCTTAAGGGAGAAGCCTCTGAGGAACAGGAGAGGCATCCTGAGGGGTTTCTGGACCAGGGTTTCTAGGGTTGATGCCCGAGTGTGCAGACAGTCACTGAGTCAAAGAGGGAGGCAGAGAAGGAGAGACTTTAGGACCTGTCCTGTGCTTCTCCCTGCAAGTCTCAGGTGGGCTGTCTGTGAAATAGAGGGGTCCTCCTAAGGCCAGTTCCCTGAAATCAGTTGTTCCATCTCTGAGGGAAGTCGGAATCTATGGCCCAGATCACTCCAAAGACAGAATGTTTCCAAAGTTCTCTGGAGTTTGGAGATGCATTCTGGAATACTTTAAGAGGTGAATGAGTGGACAATCTCACACCAGAATACTGCTTGGCTTGGCCTGCATGAAGAGGCCATATTCCCCAGGCAGGCAGCGCTGGGTGGGGCTGGCAGAGAGGTGGCTCCGGATCTGAAAGCTGAGCTGAGAGGCAGCTGTGTTGACTCCCTCCCCCCACCCACGGCTGCCCCTTGGTGTCTCAGGCCCTGTGTTTACTCTCTCTGGGTGAGGCCCAGGCTGGAACAGTCTGCCTGAGGCTGTCTCCCTTGCAGCTCCCCACCCAGGAACCCCAGTGATGAAGATTTGCTAAGGGATTTGCTGATTCAAAAGCTGCTGGCCTGGATGGTGGATCTCACAGAGCTCGGCAAGCTCAGGTAGGGGGTTGAGTGGCTTTGGGTCTGTTGCATGGTGGTTATAAGGTTGAGTTTGGAGGTCAGACATAGATTCAGATCTTTGACCCAACACACGCTGGCAAATTACCTAGCCTTTCTGAATTTCAGTGTTTTCACTAAATCAGAATGATTTCTGATTTCACTAAATCAGAATGAGTGAAATCATTTCATGGGATTGTTGTGAGGTTTAAATAAGACAATGCAAGTGGAGAGCTGAGGGCCACATCTAAGAAACACTAACAGGTTGGCAGTGTTAGCAGCTATTATTACAGTTTGCTTTCCTCCTCAACTTCCTCCAGGCGAGGTTCTGCTCTCACCTTCTCTGCCTACCAAGCTAAGCTGCTTGTCCTAGTCTCAGCTTTCCCTTTGTACCCTTGGGCCATAGTACCCTCCTGGTGGTGGGAACCCCTCTAATTGGTGGCATATTGTCCTTCTCTATAGCCACTTCTGGACTCAATGATCTCTTGAATCCACCGTACCAGCTAGGAAATCCTTCAATCTATCCATCATGTCCCAGAATCAAGGGACTAAATATTATGGAGAGACCCATCCACCTAAAGGGTGAGACCGGACACTCATTCAGGATGCAGACACCAAGGCACAGAAACCAAAATGTGTTCAGACTTTGATGCTGGGCAGCCTGGGAGGAGTTGAGGGAGTACATCTGGGATAGGAACCTGTCCGAGGGTAGCAAGGGAGAGGAATGTGCCCAGACCAATGGAACAGAGAGTGTGAGAAAATTTCCACAGAGAGGTGGGTCACAGTCTCTGTACTTTGGTGAAGTATTTTGATCACTTACCATTAAAAAGGTGATTTGGGCCGGGCGCGGTGGCTCACGCCTGTAATCCTAGCACTCTGGGAGGCTGAGGTGGGCGGATTGCTCGAGGTCAGGAGTTGGAAACCAGCCTGAGCAAGAGCGAGACCCTGTCTCTACTATAAACAGAAAGAAATTAATCGGCCAACTAACATATATAGAAAAAAAAAAAATTAGCCGGGCGTGGTGGCACACGCCTGTAATCCCAGCTACTCGGGAGGCTGAGGCAGCAGGATTGCTTGAGCCCAGGAGTTTGAGGTTGCTGTGAGCTAGGCTGATGCCACAGCACTCACTCTAGCCTGGGCAACAAAGCAAGACTCTGTTTCAAAAAAAAGAAAAAAAAAAAAAGGTGATTTGGAGGTAGGAGTGGTTTGACGATGGCTTAGTGCCAGAATAAACTAGCCTGGCTGACTCCAAGTCAATAATGACCTTCCTCTCTCCTTTCCCCCTCTCCCCAGGTCTCGGTGACTGACCAAGCCCAGCTCAAGACTGGACTCTGTCCTTCACTTACTCAGCCCCTGCCTCAGCCCCTCTGGTGAACCCACGAGAAGGCAAACCAATAAAGTTTACTCTGGGATAAATCGCTGTGCCCAGTGTGAAAACTTATTCAAATGTTTACTGAGTGCTAACAGGGCATGTTTTTTGCACCCAATGAAAAGGAATTATGGTTCTTACCTAAATCTGTTAATTCATTTCTTTACTTTACAAGCATTTTTTTAGTACTAAACATTGGTAGGGCTGTGCTAAACACTGCATTATACAGCAATGAAGAAAATGCACACATCCTTACCCTTGAAGAGCTTAAAGTCCAGCGACAGAGAAAGACCTTAATCTTTAAACACACAAATACATTAATAATTACAAAGTATGCTGAGTTATATGAAGAAAGACTAAGGTGCTATGAGAGAGGACAGGGAAGCTTTCTTCTAGATGGAATAGGGTGGCCAGGACGGCTTGTCTGAGAAAATGACATTTAAGTTGAGTGAGATTTGAAGGATAAAAGGGTCAAAGAATGAGGAGAAGGCTTAATAATATAAGCCAGTGTTATTATTATACAGCAAAATGGGCAACGGGGAGGACAGCAGGAGTGCAGGCTGGAAAGGTGGACAGAGGCAGGGCCTTAAAGGCCATGGTAAAGATTTTGAATTTTATCCTCAGTGCAAGCTTAAAGTTAATTTTTTTTTTGAGGCAGAGTCTCAGTCTGTTGCTCTGGCTAGAGTGCCATAGTGTCAGCCTAGCTCACAGCAACCTCAAACTCCTGGGCTCAAGCAATCCTGCTGCCTCAGCCTCCCGAGTAGCTGGGACTACAGGCATGCGCCACCATGCCCGGCTAATTTTTTCTATATATTTTTAGTTGACCAATTCATTTGTTTCTATTTTTAGTAGAGACAGGGTCTCGCTCTTGCTCAGGCTGGTTTCGAACTCCTGACCTTGGGCAATCCTCCTGCTTTGGCCTTCCAGAGTGCTAGGATTATAGGCATAAGCCACTGTACCCGGTTTTAAAGTTAATTTTTTTATTTATTGTTTTTCTCTTCTTGATCAAATTAATCATATTCAGAGCTTAAATTACTTGAAGGATTTTGAGCAGGGGCATGTCAGAGATCTATTTGTATTCTCTATAAAAACAATCACTCTGGGGGGGGAAATGGGCATTTATTGAAAAGTTAAAATCTGTACCCCCATAATATGCCAAAATAAAAAAAAAATTCACAGAGGCTTAGACACAAATGTTAATATGACTAACAGACACCAAAACTACAGTAAAGTATATGAAGAATTCAAAAAGTAATTATAAGATTGGTATGAGGATTAAATAAAATAACACACATAAGGCCCTTGGCCTGGCATTGCAAGTACTTAAAAAGTGTTAGCTATTAGTCTTTGAGCATATACTTTCCCCCTTACCTCAATGTCTTAGTGGCTAACTAAATTAACAGGTATTTTTACTAATGATCACAGACCACAATGCAATAAAAATAAGATTATACAAATGTTAAAAAAAAACAACAAAAAAACAATCACTCTGAAGATAGGGCTTTATTAATATGAAGGGATGAAAGGGGAAGAGGAAGACTTAAGAGATTCTTGCAGGGTTCCAGGAGAGTGATGATGGTGGCTCAGACTAGGATAATGGTAGTAGGGGGGACAAACTCAGTTTGCCCAAAAGTCAATACCTTTGTCCTCCAGTGGTCAAAGTGTTCTTTCACACTTCAGTCTGCTGCCACCTGCCAATGCCCTCCACTCAGAGGGCAGAGCTCTCTCCTTTTCCCTATTATTTTGATTTATATCTGCCTGGATGCCTCGCCTCTCCTCTCCAAGTCACATTTTAGCAGACTCAAGTCAAACACACCTAAATTCAAATCCCCTCATAGGTCTTGGCAAGTTACTTTTTCCAAGCCTCAGTTTCCTGTCCATAAAATGATGATAAGAAATATTTAATAATTGTATTTCTTCACTCATTTATTGGCAAAAAATAAATAAAAAAGAAGAAATAACTACCTCATAAGGTTGAAGTCAATATTAAGATAAGGTGGGAGATTCAGGTTAGAGGATACAAAGCAACAGATATGTAGGATGGACAAGTCTAGAGACCTAATGTACAACATGAGGACTATAGACAATAAAATTCTACTGTAAATCTACTTTGGGATTCATGGTAAATGAGAAGATTTTTAGCTGGGCTTGCCACACACACACACACAAAGGTAACTATGTAAGATGATGGATATGTTAATTTGCTTCACTATGGTAACCTTTTTACTATCTACACACATATTCCATAACCTCATGTTGTATACCATAAGTATTAGAATAACACTTTTACTTTTTCTTTTAGCCAGGGTCTAGCTGTTGTTGGGGGCTAGAGTACAGTGGCTGGATCATAGCTCACTGCAACCTCAAACTCCTGAGCTCAAGAAATCCTCCTGCCTCAGCCTCCCCAGGAGTGGGGACTACAGGCATGCACAAACACACCCGGCTAATTTTTGTATTTTTTTGTAGAGAAGGTTTTGTGTGTGTGTGTCTTGCTTTTGCTCAGGCTCAACTCCTAGCCTCAAGCAATCCTCCCTCCTAGGCCTCTCAAAGTGCTAGGATTACAGGTGTGAGCCACTGTGTCTGGCCAGACCTTACTTTAACATGTTCAAAAGCATTCTTTATTTCCCCAACTTCCTCTTCATTCTGTGGCACCCCTATCTCTGAATGGCACCATCCTGTTGCCCCAGCTAGAAAACTGAGCACCCTTTCGCACTCCTGCAGCACCGTTTATCAGTTTTACCACTTTACCTTCTTAATATTTCCTGGATATATCCTATTCTATCCTCACTACCACTATCTTGGTTCTGGCCCTCATTGTTTCTAGTTTGAATTACTACAACACTAGAGTGATTTTTCTAAAAAAAAAATTAGATCTTATTACTCCCTGACTGAAGAGTCCTCCATATGCTCCTTGTAAAGATTCAATGCTATCGAAAATCACCTACGGAGCTTTCTAAACCCACGGATGACTGATTTCAGCCACAGATGAGTAGCAATCATAATTGACATTTATTTATGTGCCCAGCATTGCACTATATGCTTTATTACATGTTTTCTCACTTAATCCTCAGGAGATTTCAGGAGTAGGCATTATTATTATTATTATTATTATTAGAGACAGAGTCTCACTTTGTTGCCCAGGCTAGAGTCAGTGCCATGGCATCAGCCTAGCTCACAGCAACCTCAATCTCCTGGGCTCAAGCGATCCTAATGCCTCAGCCTCCCAAGTAAGCTGGGACTACAGGCATGCGCCACCATGCCCCGCCAATTTTTTCTATATATTTTTAGCTGGCCAATTAATTTCTTTCTATTTATAGTAGAGACCGGGTCTCGCTCTTGCTCAGGCTGGTTTCCAACTCCTGACCTCGAGCAATCCGCCCGCCTCAGCCTCCCAGAGTGCTAGGATTACAGGTGTGAGCCACCGCACCCAGCCCGAGTAGGCATTATTATATTACACAACTGTGGGTAGTGAAACACAAGAGATTAGGGAATTTGCCTGAAGTTTCTGGGCCGTATGTAGCGAACCTGAGTTATAGAGGCAGGCACTCTCACTCCAGAGTTCAACTTCTTTAACTGTAAGGCCCTTTCAAGTCATAATCTCTGTAAGTCATTCCAACAGGTTAACTCCATTAGGGTAGAATGGCTCCCGTTTTATGCTCAATATGGAAGCCTCCATGGCCAACACAACGCCCAGCATGTAGTAGGTTATCCATGAGCATCTATTGACCTCCAGACGATGGAGTGCCAGTCGCGGAAGACCAGGGAAGTAGGCGCCCAAGTGGGCGGGACACGCGGGATCCCCACGCCTTCCCTGCCGCAGGGCTTTGCTGAGCCCAGCCACCATCTGAGGGCGGGGACACTGGGCCCCTGGCGGCGGAGACTCTCTACTCCACAGCAGGAAGTGGGGCACGTGGCTTCCGGCGCGTGCAGATGACGCGAGGGCTAGGGCTTCCGCGTTGGGGAACAGGCGGCGGAGCCCAGGCCGCGGAGAGCTGGGGTCCTAGCATACGGGCGGCCCGCGGGCCCAGGGCGGGGATGCACCGCCGCGGGGTGGGAGCCGGTGCCATCGCGAAGAAGAAGCTTGCCGAGGTGAGGAGGAAGGTGGCCGACCACAGCCCACCCCTGACCCATGAGAGACTGAATTCTCCCGGAGCAGAGTTCTGCACTCTGCTCCCAACAGAATCCGGCAGGCTTCTGCCCAGGGAAATGAGTTTCTCCAACTCTGTGGTTTGGAGTGTCAGCATCTCCAGATCCACCAGCCCTTTCTTCCACTTCCCCAAGTTTCACTACAAACGGGATTCTACTCCGGAATCTACAGTCGTTGATTTTACTCCCTCCCACATCCTCTCCCTAAAAAAAATTTAAGAAAGACCCTCTTCTTTTCATATTATAGCTGTGGCAGCGCAAGCGGGAGCCCCCAGCGCCCACTTTCTTAACTTATGCTGGTCTCTGTCTGACAGGCCAAGTATAAGGAGCGGGGGACTGTCTTGGCGGAGGACCAGCTGGCCCAGGTGAGTTGGTTGGAGGGCTTTTGGCAGGAAGGGAGACACCACAGGGCTAGTCAAGACACCTTTGATGTAAACTTGATTGTTTAGAGTGAATTAAAAATAGGATGTTTGGCCAGGTGTGGTGGCTCAGGCCTGTAATCCTAGCACTCTGGGAGGCCGAGGCGGGCGGATAGCTCCAGGTCAGGAGTTCGAAACCAGCCTGAGCAAGAGCGAGACCCCCGTCTCTACTATAAATAGAAAGAAATTAATTGGCCAACTAAAAACATATATACAAAAAAATTAGCCGGGCTTGGTGGCACATGCCTGTAGTCCTAGCTACTCGGGAGGCTGAGGCAGGAGGATTGCTTGAGCCCAGGAGTGTGAGGTTGCTGTGAGCTAGGCTGACGCCACGGCACTCACTCTAGCCTGGACAACAAAGCGAGACTCTGTCTCAAGAAAAAAAAAAAAAAGATTTGAGCTTTACGTGGCAAAGAGAAGAGAGTTGGCCAAGAGTGGTTATTCTTGGTGGGGTAAAAGGTGGGCTTTGTTAATTAGGAAAAGAGAAGGGGTAATACAAATAAAAAATTGGAAAATTCCCAACTCTTTTGTATTTAGCATGGAATGCAATCGGTAGACCCATACCCGCACCTGAGAAATTCTTTAGCTGATGTTGATCCCCAAGGAGTTCCCTGACTTTAAGGCTATACAAATTCATGCCAGGCTTTGTTTTTTTTTTTTTTTTTTGAGACAGAGTCTCGCTTTGTTGCACAGGCTAGAGTGAGTGCCGTGGCGTCAGCCTAGCTCACAGCAACCTCAAACTCCTGGGCTCAAGCAATCCTTCTGTCTCAGCCTCCCAAGTAGCTGGGACTACAGGCATGAGCCACCATGCCCGGCTAATTTTTCTATATAATTAGTGGCCAATTAATTTCTTTCTATTATAGTAGAGACGGGTTCACTCTTGCTCAGGCTGGGTTTCGAACTCCTGACCTCGAGCAATCCGCCCGCCTCGGCCTCCCAGAGAGCTAGGATTACAGGCGTGAGCCACCGCGCCCGGCCAGGCTTTGTTTTTTACTATCCACCCTTTGTCACTGGCTAAAGATTTTCTACTGCATGAACACTGCATGCCCTCATTTCTAAGAAAAAATGGATTATCAGGTATACCTTCAATTTAATGACACTTTTTCTGGAAAAAAGAAAAGTACCACACTATGTGTGCATGTTGATTTGTAGATGCAACCTGATTGTAGAACAGGAACACATGAAAAAATGTGTATTTTAGAATTAGGGAAACACAGTAGAGAAACACATTTCTGCTGACAATGGAACTGTGAAGTATAAAAAGGGATAAAAAGAGAGACAGTAGGCCAGGCGAGGTGGCTCATGCCTGTAATCCTAATACTCTGGGAGGCCGAGGTGGGAGGATTGCTTGAGGTCAGGAGTTCGGAACCAGCCTGAGCAAGAGCGAGACCCCGTCTCTACTATAAATAGAAATAAATTAATTGGCCAACTAATATATATAGAAAAAAAAATTAGCCGGGCATGGTGGCACATGCCTGTAGTCCCAGCTACTTGGGAGGCTGAGGCAGGAGGATTACTTGAGTCCAGGAGATTGAGGTTGCTATGAGCTAGGCTGATGCCACGGCACTCACTCTAGCCTGGGCAACAAAGTGAGACTCTGTCTCAAAAAAAGAGAGAGAGACAGTAAACAGCATAATTGTAGGCCTGAAGGAGATAGGTTATTTCAGCCCTTGCCCTGCCACTAGGCCAGGGACTTAATTGTGACATCTGATTGTCACCTGGCTGGGCTGTTCTTAACCTCCCCTTTGTCCTTCCAAAAGATGTCGAAGCAGTTGGACATGTTCAAGACCAACCTGGAGGAGTTTGCCAGCAAGCACAAGCAGGAGATCCGGAAGAATCCTGAGTTCCGTGTGCAGTTCCAGGACATGTGTGCCACCATTGGGGTAGATCCTCTGGCCTGTAAGGAGTTGTCCGTAGTGGTCTAGTGTTTGGACAGAAGCACATCCAGTTGTCATCACCACTGTTGGGGCATGCTATAGAAGTGCCTGCAGGAAAAAAAAAAAAAAAAGAAGTGCCTGCAGGGAGATTCAGAGCATGTCATCTTTAGAGAGTGCCTCACAAGAGGGCTAGTTCCCAGTCTGATGGGGAATATAGAGAGGCTGAGTGTGGGGCATGTAGCCAGTGTCCAGGGTCTTCCCCTGAATTGTCTACAGTGGAATTTTTTATGGCATTTTTCCCCTTTATTAAAAATACTTAATTTTAATAAAAGTAGTATGTGATCATGTAGTCAGTCAACAAAGAGCTATGTAAAGGAAGTGGAATTCTCCTCACCCTCTCCCATAATTGCAGAGATAAGTACTGTTGACAGTTAAAGGTACAGTCACCCGGCACATAACATTTCAGTCAACAATAGACCATATCTGTGACTGTGGTTCCCATGAGATTATAATACTGTACCTTTTCTAAGTTTAGATATGCACAAACACCAATGTGTAACAATTGTCTACAGTATTCAGTACTGTTACATGCTGTACAGGTTTGTAGACTAGGAACAATAGGTCACACCATATAGCCTAGATATGTAGTAGGCTATCCCATCTAGGTTTGCGTAAGTCCACTCTGTGATGATCTCATGACAGATTCACCTAACAATGCATTTCTCAGGATGTATCCCTGTCATTAAGCAACACATGACTGTATATTTTTCTAGACACCTTTCTCATATTTATAAACTTTCTATTAATACATAGATGGATTATGCTATAATTAACACTACTCTATAAGCTGCTTTTTCACTCCATGAAATACTGTCTTCAGTGGATTTTTCAATGCCAAGTCCGCATATTCTTTTCTGTCTTATCTAGACCACATCTCCCATTATATTTCACTGTATGCTTTGGGAAAGGAAAGCTCATTTTGTCCGTGTCCTGAGCCAGAATTTGCAGCCAAGTAGAAATGACTTTTAGATTGCCCACCCTTTGGAACTACCTGAGCCTGTTCTGCATGAGTTACCAAGACTCAGATTATTTCAAAGAATGCTGAGTAGCAGAATGACTGGGCTAGGCAGGGAAGACTTCTCATAGGATAGATGTTTTTAATCCTTGTCTACGGCCATACCACCCTGAACGCGTCCAATCTCGTCTGATCTCAGAAGCCAAGCAGGGTTGGGCCTGGTTAGTACTTGGATGGGAGATGTTTTAATCCAGCTTTGAAAGAAAAGAAGGGATGTAAATTAATGAATAACTGAGGTTTTGTTTTTCTGTCTTGTAGCTGGAAAAGGATTTTGGTCTGAGATGCTGGGTGTGGGGGACTTCTATTATGAACTGGGCGTCCAAATTATTGAAGTGTGCCTGGCGCTGAAGCACCGGAATGGAGGTGAGGGTGGCTAGGTCCTGTGAACTGGGCTCTGGACTTGTCTGACAGGTAGAAAACCTTGAGAGATTATTTTTTCCATCCTGTCGTCAACAGGCCTATAAGATCTTAAGAAGCATCTTGTTTCATGCAATTGAATCTATGGCAGGTTTCCATGGCCAAGGATAAATAGAATTACCTAAATGACTATGTTTTCCAAAGATCTTTGGCCAGGAAGGTCTAGAGCCCCTTAGTCATTACAGAAAATAGTAGGGTGGTAGGAAATAGGCCCTTTTCCATGATGTATGATGTATTTTGGGTTATGATTTTCCCATCAGAGGCCTGCACTGCCTCTCCAAGGTGTGGTTATGCCATCTCAGTCTCTGTGCTCCCTAAAATTTGACCTTAAAAATGGTCATCTGGTGGTGCCATCTTTCTTAATAAGCACATTGAATAGCCTGTGTTGAAATTTAAACTTAAAACCTGTTATAAATCATCAGCTATAAATAGACATAGCCTTAATGTCAAGAGAACATTTAAAGTTTTTCAAAGATGACACTGCCTTTGTTTTTAGGAGATTTTCATAGATCTTACTCTATTGAAGGTCTTAACAAGGTCTCAGAACTCATTTCTCATATATGGCCAGAAGTGAAAGAAATTTAGGAACTAGTATGCTATTTGTTACTTGTAGGCTACTAAAAAGTAATGACTGTCAGGCCGGGCGTGGTGGCTCACCTGTAATCCTAGCACTCTGGGAGGCCGAGGTGGGCGGATTGCTCGAGGTCAGGAGTTCGAAACCAGCCTGAGCAAGAGCGAGACTCCATCTCTACTATAAATAGAAATAAATTAATTGGCCAACTAATATACATAGAAAAAAAATTAGCCGGGCATGGTGGCGCATGCCTGTAGTCCCAGCTACTCGGGAGGCTGAGGCAGCAGGATTGCTTGAGCCCCGGAGATTGCTGGATCATTATTAGGGTGAATTACTGGTGCAGTGAGACTCTGTCTCAAAAAAAAAAAAAAAAAAAAAAAAGTAATGACTGTCCATTTATTTAAAGTAGTCACAGCCATAAGGGTAATTCTTCATCTGCTTTCTGTCCCTCTCTCCAATAGGTCTGATAACTCTGGAGGAACTACATCAACAGGTGTTAAAAGGAAGGGGCAAATTCGCCCAGGATGTCAGCCAGTAGGTCTTGCCTTCAGACTCCTTGGAGTATAGAAAGAGGTCTTTAAAAATCAGATGGAAATCTTTTCTCCCTACTTCTTAAAGGTCTAGAAGTGCTTAGAAATCTGTATGATCAGAATAAAATATATTTTCATTTCAGGAAATGGAAAATACAGAGATATAAGAAAGGAAACAAAATCATTATTTCTCAACTAAGAGCTTACAACTATTGTACATTTTGATATATTTCCTTCTAAGTGTCTTTTTCATGCATACACATGTATTATTTTTTAACATACTTGGGGCAGTATATCCTCTTGAGTTTATTTGAGGCCAAAGAGACTAGAGTAGGTGCCTAGAAAGGCTGGGGAAGGAGGTTGGGATGAGATGATGGGTATAAATTGATCTGGTTCACCTGCCTCTATGTGTGAGTCCAGTTTGAGAAAAGATTAAAGGCTGTTTTTGATGTATCTCCCAAGGAGCCAGCCTTGTATGAGATCATGAAGACCTGGAATATTTAAAAAGAAAATGATGACAAAAGATACTAGCCATACTTATTGCAGATTAATTTTCATGGAGAGTGGGTGAGTTAGTGCATTTGAACCTGATTTTAATTTACTATTCTAGAGGGTTGAAGAAAGCATTCCAGTCTTCCTAAAAGTCTCCTTTCCATGACTGTTTCAGTGATACATATTTGAGATTTGGCAGAGGTGGTAAACTCTCAGTGTGTGGGCTGGATATAGGATCTACATGCTGTTTTGTGGGTTTTCTTTTTCTCCAATTTGAACTAGTTGTCAACTAAGAAACCAGGAAACCTGGCAGTACTGGGCCTGAGTTTCCAAATGGCAATAATCAGCTGGGTTTCCCTCTTTAAAATAGATAAGCATTTTCTAGTTTGCCCCAGTTCATACTACTTCCCAGAGTTTCTTCAGCTCACTCATCACATTTCCTGATGAGCTCCTGCAGGTGTATTTTTAACCCGTCTGGATGTTGGAATTAATGGTTTGCTTGGTGGAAAGCCTGACTCCTGTAGCATCTCCCTGGAATGCTCAGGCATCATTGGGTGCTTTTTATCCTGGACTTTTTACTGACATAGTTGAGTGTTGTGCAGCCTTTTGCATTTTCTCTCAGTATCCTGCCCAGGGCAGAGCTGAAACTAGCATTGTTGGGTCTGATCTGCCAAGGGTCTTTAAGCAGCTCTTCCTCACCTCAGAGACGACCTGATCAGGGCCATCAAGAAACTAAAGGCACTTGGCACTGGCTTCGGCATCATCCCTGTGGGCGGCACTTACCTCATTCAGTCTGTTCCAGCTGAGCTCAATATGGATCACACTGTGGTGCTGCAGCTGGCAGAGGTACTGGTGCGCCTTCTGAGAGAGTGTGTGCATGCAAGGTTTGGGATGGGAGTCAGGAGGTGTTCCAAGCTCCTCCTCCCCATTCCTCAGGTCTTTTGCTGAGACTGTCTTATGGATGAATTACTCAGGCCTATGCTGGTTCAGCAGACGTTTATTGAGCAGCTACAGTGCAAAGCACTGGGCTAGGCTGTGGGGCATATAAAGATAGGTATGATATAGTTCCTGCTCTCAAGGAGCTTACAGTCTAGTCAGGTAGACAGACATGCAGACAACTAACTGTATTTCCTTGAGTAGAGAGACTCTTGGATGTCTTTATGGATTCTTTAAAACAGATTTTTTTAAAACCTTGTTTGCCATCCCCCCATCCCTCAGCATGCCTTCAGCATATGCCATCTTTCCCCAAATCCCCATCATGTATTTAAGGAAGACATGTTCAGTTTTCTTTATAACATAAAACTAAATCAGGGGCTTTTCTATATTAGGGGATGATAGAGTGAGGCAGGGCAAGGACTGAATATTTAAATATTTTAGATTGTTAACATTTTATGATTATCACCATTCCTTCCTATCAGTTAATCGTTCTGAATCTTCCCTTGTCATACTCTAGAGTTTTCTGCAGAAGTCTAACTTAATCTTAGTATCAGGGGCTCACTTTGTCAGATTAAACCCATTAACCTACCTCTACCATCCTGAAAGTCACCTCTCTCCCTCCCTCCCTCTTCCCCCTACCCTTTCTGCTGGGACCTTTAAACATGCTTTTTCTGTGCGCCCCGCAGGCTTGGCCCAAGGGCAACTTCCTTCTGTGGGATAAATTGATTGTTCCTGGGCAGGTGCTGGGATCTAAGGGAAAGTGAACTCTTTTTAAAAAATGTATTTATTTTCCATCTCTATCTCTTGCATGGAATGAAAGTGCACTCTTAACTGACTCCATCCCCGTTCCTCCTTTTTTCAGAAGAATGGCTATGTGACTGTCAGTGAAATCAAAGCTAGTCTTAAATGGGAGACCGAGCGAGCGCGGCAAGTGCTGGTATGTGACTTTGAAATGGCCCAGAAAAGATGGGTCCCAGATGGGAGGAGCTGGGTGGATGGGTCCCACACAGGCAGGGGCTTCAGCCTCACTTTGTTGGCCTCTTACCTTGAAGGCTACTGCCATGCTAGAAGGAAGCCTGGTGTTTCTCTGAAGATGGCACTGAGGGGGCAGAACTCACCAAGGCGGGCCTCTAACCCTGGCATGGATGTAATACCAGGCTGCCACTCCTCCTGGGGAACCACCGACACCCGTTTCTCCTGAATATGTTGAGGCTGGAGTTGCTGGTCAGGAGGTTAATATAGTTTATACTGGAAGTAACACTGTTAGTACAGAGTAAAGGGAATTATGAACTACTTATGGTATCTATAATTATACACTAAGCATTATATCACATATTATATAGTACATAGCTTTATATACACACATTTCATGGTACTGATGAAAGACTGATGTGAAGAGGGAGCAGCATGAGAATGGAGGAGCCCTGGCTTCAGCACCTTTTTCCTTATCCAGGACTTTTGCTTTTATCTGTAAAATGGGGATAACTTAATTACCTGTCTAATGATACTGGGTAGAACCAACCCATTTTGAGCCTATTTCCAGCATGTGTTACATAGTAGGTTAAGTCAAAGATAGGTAGAACAATGACCTGGGAGAACAGAGGCAGTGATTTGCTCATACACAGCAAATACCTCTGTAGCCCTATATTCTCTCCCTGCATCCCACTGTGCTTGGCTTTACCTTCTTCCCAGCAGCACAAGTTAAATAACTCAGTGGCATTTTTCACACTTTAGGCAAAGCCCAAGGTCAGACAGATCATTCGTTTGGTTGTGTAACTATGTGAAGGCACCCGTGTGTAAATTTCGTTTAAAAACCTCACTGAAGCCAAAATAGATTTGGGGAGTGCTCATGTACCCTACTTTGTCTGTGGAACCTCCCTTCTCAAATCACTCTTTGTACCTTTTCCCTACAGGAACACCTGCTGAAGGAAGGGCTGGCCTGGCTGGACTTGCAGGCCCCAGGGGAGGCCCACTACTGGCTGCCAGCTCTCTTCACCGACCTCTACTCCCAGGAGATCACAGCTGAAGAGGCCAGAGAAGCCCTCCCCTGAGAGTGTGGAAGGGCACAGCAGGCAGGGAGAAAAGGGAGGACCTTTTGGTGAATAAACCTGGACAATTTTGTTTATAAAAAAAAAATTAGAAAAAAACATTCCAAGTTTTTCTTTCTTCTCCCAATATTTTATTTTTTAAAAGTGCCCTCATATTGCATCTTTATTGGAGGAAATCTCATTTATCCAGTAAGGATAACCTGAGTTAACACAGATAACCGTGGGCAGGTCATCTACAAGTTCATGGAAGAGCTGGGCCTGGAAGGCAGGCCGTATCCTGGCCTGACCAGTTAGTCTTTCTATAGCTGTGAGACAAATGACAGCCTCTGCTAATTCAAACCTTCCTTGTAAAATATTTATCTAATGGACCAGTACATAACAATTGTTCTTTCCCACTCTTTCTACTTCTCCTGCAGAGGCTTCAGGTTATGACAGACTCAGTGTCAAGGAAATAGATTTCAGTGTTGAATTGTGGCTAAATTGGAGGAAAGAAAACAATGGAATTTGAGGAATCAATAGTGAATGTTTTATTTCCTCAAATTCCTTACTACTTTCCTCAGATTCCTTTCTTCCCCTCCTATATTCATCACTACGTCCCTTTAGCCTCAGTGGTGGGCAAGGGAATCATCTACTGAACACTTACCCTGTGCCATTCCACATCCACCTCATTTAATCCTCACAACTGCCCTAGAAGGTTAAGTAGGTAGCCTTAACTTCATAGGTGACGGATCAAAGCAATTTGTCAGGGGCCACCAGCTTAAGCAGAGGCAAGGCTAAAGCCTAGGTCTATTAACCCCAGAGCACATGCTTTCCAGTATCGCTACTTTGCAGGGTCAAGAGCGGCAGGACATACTGTGTAGACATTTCTTTCTACACGTGTGGTTAGCCAAGAGGAAAAAAGCCTCTGCCCATAAAAGCAAGAATCTCCTAAAGCAAGTAGAAGTGGTGATGAGGAAAGAGGCCAGAGGAGTTTAAGGCTTTCACTCTTTATGGCCTAAATGCTAATTCCTAAGCAGTGCTGGCTTAGTACTGGAAAACTGCAAATCCAATGGCTTCTCCCTAATGAGACCCTTCTGGCAGGAAATACAGAGTCTGGGCTCATCTCTGTCTACCTCTGCCTGACCTTGTAGGACATGCTCATGCCCCACAGCTTTGGAATAGGTGTTTCTTTGGGAGTCACTGAAACTAAGGTGGCATTCCTCTCATTGACAGAGCCATAGCCTCAAAGATGGACCTCTCCATTTACAATTGGTGTAAAACTTGTCAGCAGTAGTCCTGTTCCCCCATCCTTCACCATATGATACAAATTTTCAGTTTCCAGACAATTCACTGAGCCCTTTTCTTCTCCCTGACAGTCCCAGGTGAGGTGCAGTTGACAAGATGATCCCATTCCTCCTTTACATAAACCCTCCCACACCCACAGGCACTTCCTCCTTCTGCCAAAACAAACTTTATTGCACCAAAAAGAAAAAAAAAACTTCATTTATGTACAGTCATATATAAAGACATCTCTTTGACTCCTGTGCATATATTTCCTCAACTCAAGATTAGGGCATAAAAGTCAGGCCGCTATGCCAGACATGCTCTGCCCCATGGCAGGGCCAAGGAGAGGATTGTCACTTGAAAGTGGGAACACTTAAATGAATGACAGACAACACCGGACCCACAGACCAAGGGCATTCTTCTAAGCCCTGGACTAGCTCCAGGAATGGTAGAGGGAAATTGGAAGCAGGGTCCCTTTTTGAGTCTCCACATGAAGAGACTCAGCCTTCAGATATCCAAGCTCACCACTCCGTCCAGTATCTTTTGCTTCCTGCCCTACCAAGTAGGACATTCTCCTTTGTGCCCAGCCACCCTTGCCCCACAGTTCCCGAGGAGTCCCATGATTCACAAGGCAGAGACCTATGCAGCAGCAGGCAGCGCAGGTACACATTCTCCTCTCCCTTACGCGTGGCTGGATACAGACTGAGGCCCTGCATCACATGAATCACCAAAACCCACTGGGAGCCATAACAAGAATCTGGAAGTACGGGGAGAACACATCAAAGAGGGGAAGGATGGATTCCCTTGATGCCCAGTATCAGGGCCCCTACAGCACATTTTTCTGAGCCAACCAGCTAAACGATCACTGCAGCTAAATACAGATAGAGAAGCAACACAGCCAGGCAAACACCCATCAGAGCCAGTGACAAAGAACAGCTGTGGGAGATGGGGAGGAGAGAAGGGAAGCAGTCTCCAGAGTCCCAGCCCCAGTCCCCTTCTGCCATTGGCTACCCTTGCTCCCCACAAATCCCTGGGGTTGAAGTGAGGAGGGCAACTACAGGCTGGGGTGAGAATGAATAAGGACAGCCAAACGAAATAAGGACTAGCATCAGTCTCCCCCTGTACCCCACCCTCAAGAGAAATACCCTCATTGTGACTAGTATTTATGAAAATCTGTAAGAGACTATTCTATGTAGTGGCTCTAATCCCATACACACGGCAGCTGCCTGTGCTGAGAACTTTTCAAATCAGTGATTGCGGGAACAAACAATATTTTCAGCTTCTTATGGTGCCTGTGCAGGCTTTACCAAGAACTTGGTTCAGTCCCAGTCACATTGACCTTCTGTCTTAAATCCAGAAAAGGGGGAAGGATTGGGGGGCAGGGGAGAAAGGTGCTCAGGTGCTAGGTAAAGCTTACTGATCAGCAGCCTAGACTCCACCACTGTTCCTTCTCTTTGGTCTGTCTAGAACAGTGACTATAAATTAGGAAAATCAAAATTATGCTGGCCTGGGAGAAATAATGGGGGAGGGGTCGCAGGGAGGAAAAGGGCATTGGGAAGCCCTGCTTCAAGACTGAAGACAGACAGACAACCACCCAGACTGCTTAAGTGTCACAGACAGCCCCCCACCCCAAGCTCCCTTCCAGATATCCCCATAAACCATTTGGGCACACTCCCTCTTGGAATTGCAATTTCTGTCTTCCACCTATCCCTAAGGAGCTGGCCCTGTGGAGAGGTGTGTTGGTTGTTTTGTTTTTGCCAGAGGCCCTCACCCTAGGTGCTCCTGTAAAGGTACCTTGGCCCCTGATATGGGATGAACAAAGCCCCAAATGCTCCACTGCCAAGGAGGTCAGATCGGGAACAGTCCCCATTCCCACACCCCAGGATCCGAGCTTGCTTGGTTCTTGCCATCTTGCAGGATGACGTCAAGTTTGGAGGGAGATACACAGTGCCTCTCCATCCCAGGGGTGAGGGCAAGGGACTCTCAAGTCAGGGGAAGGGGTGAAGGGAGCAGGGTCTAAACCCTTAGGCTCCCATGCAGGTCTGTCTCTGTCCCAGATGAGCTGCTATCAGAGTCCATTTCGGCGTTCTCATTATGGAGCCTCTCCAGCACTTTCTGACGAATCAGTCCCAGGCGCATCAAGAGGGACTGGTAGTCAAAGTGGCCCCGCTTCTCTCCAAAAGGGTCCTGTGGGGAAAAGGAGACAAGGGGGATGGAAGATTCAAGTCTGGGTGGCTCACCCCAGAGAAAGCAGCTTTGGGCTCATGTGAAATGCAAGCTCAACTTCTGAGCCACGAGGAAGGCACAGCATAGCACAAGTAGTCCCAAACAGCAGACGACAAAATCTTTGCTTAGGATTATCATGGCACCCTTACTATCCCAAAGAGGTCTAGCTTGGGCTGACATTAAAATGTGTCTGTATTCCACAAAAGCAAGCCAATACGTAGAAGACGGCATGGTAAGGGTGAGATACCAAGGGAAGAGAAAAATTAAAGACCAGGATTGTAATCATTAAGCATGCCTTTTTTTTTTTTTTTTTAAGATGAGGTCTTGTTATGTTGCTCAGGCTGGTCTTGAACTCCCTAGTTTAAGTGATCCTCCTGCCTCAGCCTCCCAAGTAGCTGAGATTACAGGTACATGCTACCACACCTGGCTTGTGCCTATGTTTTTATTTATTTATTTTTTTGTTTTATTTTTTTTAGAGACAGGATCTCACTCTGTTTCCCAGGCTGGAGTGCAGTGACACGATCATAGTTCACTGCAACCTCAAACTCCTGGGCTCAAGGGATCCTCTCACCTAAGCCTCCCAACTACAGGCACATACCAGCACATCCAGCTAATTTTTAAATTTTCTGTACAGACAGGGTTTCAGTATGTTGCCCAGGCTGGTCTTGAACTTCTGGCCTCAAGTGATTCTATCTCCTTGTCCTCACAAAGTGCTGGGGTTACAGGCATTAGCCACTGCGCCTGGCCCCAGGTACCTGCATTTTTAATTAGCCTCATAAAAAAATACAGAAGTGGAAAATCGTCCTCCATTCTCTATAATCAACAACTGTAATTTGCTTTTCTCAGATCAGAGGCAGGTCTAGAACTCAAAGAGTTTTGAGTTCCAGATAAGCACCTGTACTCTTTCCCAGGGACTGGTCACTACATTCCTATCAAGGTTTCTGGGCTTTGCTCCAGGGTCACCTAGCCTTGATCTTAGTCCTTGTCGTTCCAGATAAAAGATCTCTAAGCATTTCACAGAAAGGTTTAACTGTCCTCAAACTCTCAGAAACAACTATGGTTGGGGTGGAAAGTATAAAACAAAGTAGAATGTGAAATGCTATATAGGGACTTCAGCAGCAAAGTAGTGTGGCTAGGGTTCAAACAAGTGCAGACTGCTTTCCTTGGCAGTCCCAAACAGGTATACGATTTTCTCTCTCACCTTGTGTTTGCTTCTCTCACAAAAACCCTGTCCACACTTCTGTCCACACATTACCCTCGTGAGCAGGGTGCCAGGGGGTGCTTGTCACAGTCACTGAGACTGCAGCCCACACTTCTCACTTGGGAGGTTTTATTCCCTGAAAGCTGAGCTTATTCTGGAGCTGTCAATTTTCCAAATCTTCCTTCTTTCATCCTTGGCTCCATTTCTCTTCCTCCTCCTTCCCGGACCATTCCCCTCACGCTGCCCCTCCTTCTCATCCCTCATCACAAGTTATTTTTCATTTATGGATGGAATATTGGTAATATGCTGCTGGACACCCGCAATGAGAATTCCTGATGGGGAAGAAACCAGGGCACATACCACCTATATGCTTTCAAAAAAGGTTCAGGAAACAACTTAACCCTGAGCCTGCCTTGCCCTTTAAGGTTAAATAAAAGAAGGATAGGAAAGCTACCGTTTATAAGCAGCATTAGAGGAAATAAGTCATCTACTCCTACTGTTATTGGGTGGGTGGGAAGAAAACAGCTCAAGAGCTGGAGAAAGCCTCAATTATCCAAGTCATCCCATTTGTTAGCAAGGCCACCAGTAAGTGACCCAAAGACACAAGAACTGATCTTCTAAGACAGGAGAATTCTTACCCTCTTACCAACCAGATTGTTTACATTTAAATCTACAGTTTGGTCAATGAGAACCTCTTTCTTAAAATGAGTGTAAATTCTGCATTCATGCTGGAAGCAAAAGCTCGTTTTCCCCGTAGACAAAGAATGAACAACTGGTTACCATCTTTGGAATAGCAATCTTTGAACATAGTGGCACTGTACACCCATTGTTTCTCTACTCTAAGCCATGTGTTCTGTGAGCACACTTAGGGCTAGGGATAGAATTCCAATAGAAGACTCTTACAATCCCTAAGATTCTGGAAGGGATGAATGTTCCTGGCTTGAAAGACTACTGACCAAGATGGAAAGGACTTCCAGCCTAGAAAGCAGGACGATTCAGATAGAATTGAGTACCTCCCGAGTACCTACTTTATGCCAGGAACTTAGAACCAACTCCATATGACTTTAGGCAAGTCAGTCTCCTCTCTGGGCCTCAGTTCCTCATATGACTCAGGTTCCTTTTAGCTGTGACATTCTATGAGAGATGTGGATATCACCCTTGGGGTATTTTACAGGGTCTGCTGTAGGGCTTCTGGAATTAATGGCAAGGGCTGCATTACCTGCATAGTCTGGCCTTGAAGGTGCAGGCGATCTTTACAGGCCACCTCATAAAAGTCATAATACTCCAGGAAAGACTTCTCCATCACCCCTCTGGAAAACAAGCAGAAATGCAAGTTAGAAACCTGGGTGAATAGGTCACCCCTTCACTACCTAATCTTAATGCAAAATTAAACAGCTAGAGTTCCTAAGCCCACAAAAATCTTTAAATGGAAAATGGAAAAAGGAACAGCTGACTGCCCATGGTTGACTTCTCTTACATCTTGGGAAGTATAAAATGAGATTGACTATAATACTCACCATTTGGATGCCAATTTCAACTCATGCCTTGCTCAAGTTCAACTGCTTTTTCTTTAGAGATAGGGTCTTGTTCTGTTGTTGTTCCCGCTGGAGTGCAGTGGTGTCATTATAGCTCACTGCAACCTCCAACTCCTGGGCTCAAGTGATCTGAGTCCCAAGTAGCCAAGACTATAGGTGCCAAGCTCAGCAATTTGTCTTTTCTTTTCTTTTTGAGACACAGTCTCGCTCTGTTGCCCGGGCTAGAGTGCCGTGGCTGTGGTGTCAGCCTAGCTCACGGCAACCTCAAACTTCTGGGCTCAAGCAAGCCTATTGCCTCAGCCTCCCCAGTAGCTGGGACTACAGGCATGCGCCACCATGCCCGGCTAATTTTTTGTATATATATATTTTTTAGTTGGTCAATTAATTTATTTCTATTTTTGGTAGAGACGGGGTCTCGCTTAGGCTGGTTTCGAACTCCTGACCTTGAGCAATCCGCCCGCCTCGGCCTCCCAAAGTGCTAGGATTACAGGCGTGAGCCACCACGCCCGGCCTGACCAGCTAATTTTTTTCTATTTTTTTAGTAGAGACGAGGTCTCGCTCTTGCTCAGGCTGGTCTCGAACTCCTGGTCTCAAATGATCCTCCCACCTCAGCCTCCCAAAGTGCCCACTGTGTCTGGCCTCAACCTCAATTGTTATTCATAAGCCATCCTTAATCCCAAACCTTACTCGAAATTCTAGAAGTCTGTTTAACTAACTCTGGTTTTATTCATCCAGTTTTAGCACTTAGAAGTAAACTTGAACACTAAGAAATGGGCTTATTATAAAGTATTCTATACCATATTTGGCTGTGGAACAGTTAGTATGTCCAATCCTTCATAAAACTGGGAGTTCCCTGAGGGCATAGACTACCTCTCCCAAAAGGCTGTGTTCTCTGCAAGAACAAGGAAGCCTGCTCAACTTCCTCAGCCACTTGCTCTTCCAAAACATGAATCACATCTTTCCTTCTTCTCTCTCTCCCTCTGGTGCCCAACATGGGACTTTGCCTGAAAGGCTCTCAAAGGTGCAAACCAACTAAATCTCCAAAAGGAACGAGTACCAAGCAACCCTTGACACATACCGTAGGGGTTCAGGACAGGGACACTTTCCTTCCATCATGTCACAGACTGCAACTCTGATGGTCTCGTGCCGGATACATTCATTGTAGTTTTTGCTGTCTCCTGGATGTCTCTCCTGTAATGAAACAGATGCTAAATCATACAAGTAGAAAACTTAACACAAAGAGAAAGCCAATGAGAAGAGACTTCAGGATTAGTATGGTATATGTGGCTCAAACACAGGAACTAAGAGGATACCTTCTGCACTATATGGTAAATTCATGAAGAACTATACCACCTTTATTTATTTTTAGAGATAAGGGTCTTGCTATGTTGCCCAGGCTAGCCTCAAACTCCTAGTCTCAAAATCCTCTCACCTCAGCCTCCCGAATAGCTGGACACCACTGTGCCTGGCTCACATCTTTATTTCTGAGACCATTCACCATGCCCCCAATCCTCCTGTACATAACAACACCCATCCTCTGTAATAGGTCATTAGACTTATAACCAGCAAACTAGATCCATCAAATTTCCCAGAATCCAAAATGAAAGGCCTATCGGGTAAAGATTAAGTAGGAAATAACCAAATATGAGAATGATGGTGAGACAAAAAGGTATAAATGATGTCAGGAGTCTCAGTGTGGAAAACCTTTAGGCATTAACAAGTAAAGGAGCTGACCAGTAAAAATCCTGGTCAGCTCCTTTACTTGTCTGTAGGGTGCCAACATCATTGAACCATTATAAACCCATCAGAAATAGAACTTAATATTCTCCTTGAACTCTTCCTTTGCTCTTCTCTTATCACCAACTCCAGTCGGTTAGAGCCCTGGCCCCTGATAAAAACAGCTATGACAAGGAAAGGGATATATACCCTCTGCCTACTGTCACGATTCTCAAACCGCACCACAGCAAAATCACAGGGCACGGTGGGATATTTTAAACTTCTGAGGAAAACCACAATATCTAACACCTGTTGAATACCATGCAAACTGCTAGCTTGAGGCAAGTAGTTCAGTTTTAATGTTAAATTGCATTCTTTTTGATAACATACTATCTTTGTGAAGCTGTATTTTCAGCCATTCTTGTGAGAAAAACAAGCAGCATATGAAAATAGTGGGGATACAAAGAATGGGTGGCAGGGAAAAAAAAAGAAAATAGTGTGAAACAGGAAATAGGAGTAGTGAGGTCCAATCTAGTTCCAAGATTTGAAAAGTTGTACAGTGTCCAGCAGGTGTATATATCCTATAAAGTCATTATAGTTATTTAAGAAAGAAGTAATTGTTGGATGTAACTGCTCAATAAGTGGAACATTTATATATCTCTCTTTGCCTAGAGAACTGTGAAAACACTAGGGACACACTGTGGGTATTGTAAACCAAGAATGTTTGTGGGTCTTAAGAAAAGTCACATTTCTTTAAATTTCCAAAGACCTAAAAAATGAGCTCTTCATTTAGCCAATGAGGTCCATTTCCATTCCTACTTCCTCCTAAAATCAGATACACTATTTGTTTAGAAAAGATTTAAATGGTATTTATTAACCTTTGTTCAGGTCCACAGAAGAATAATCAGTCTTAGTGTTATCTGAAGTAGTTTAAAAATCAATTAAGCTGTTCTAATTCACCTAAATGGAGTAATTTTCTTTCTTTTTTTTTTTTTTTTTTTGAGACAGAGTCTCACTTTGTTGTCCAGGCTAGAGTGAGTGCCGTGGCGTCAGCCTAGCTCACATCCTGGGCTTGAGTGATCCTTCTGCCTCAGCCTCCCGAGTAGCTGGGACTACAGGCATGTGCCACTATGCCCGGCTAATTTTTTGTATATATATATATCAGTTGGCCAATTAATTTCTTTCTGTTTATAGTAGAGACGGGGTCTCGCTCTTGCTCAGGCTGGTTTTGAACTCCTGACCTTGAGCAATCCGCCCGCCTCGGCCTCCCAAGAGCTAGGATTACAGGCGTGAGCCACAGCGCCCGGCCTATTTTTTTCTTTTTTATTTGAGACAGAGTCTCACTCTGTTGCCCAGGCTAGAGTGCCGTGGCGTCAGCCTAGTTCACAGCAACCTCAAACTCCTGGGCTCATGCAATCCTCCTGCCTCAGTCCCCTGAGTAGCTGGGACTATAGGTGTCCACCACCATGCCTGGCTGATTTTTTTCTACATATTTTTTGTTGTTCAGCTAATTTCTATTTTTAGTAGAGACAGGGTCTCGCTCTTGCTCAGGCTGGTCTCGAACTCCTGAGCTCAAACGGTCCACCTGCCTCAGTCTCCCAGAGTGCTAGGATTACAGGCATGAGCCACAGTGCCTGGCTACAGAGTAATTTTCTTTTGGGAATATCTCTGGAACTTTTTCCTGTGCTCATGAGTAATTAAAAAAGGCACATTGGAACAGTGGTAGAACTTAGGCTCCAGTGCAAATTTTGGGTCCTACTGTGTGTCTTTGTGAAAGTTAATTAACCTCTCAGAGTCACCATTATCTAACTTGAAAATGGGAATAATAATGTTTACCTCACAGAGTCAGCATGAGGATTAAACAAAAAATTATACATAAAAACATGGCAAGGTCCAGCATATAGCATACTCACAGAAAAATGTGAGTTTTCTCTAACTTCTCTTTAGCAGTGTTGACTGAATATTCCTGCCCTAGATTCCTAAAGACTAGCTCCTTTGGCTCTGTAGGTAATGGTCCTTCAACTCCAGCTGGGCAGCAGTCACTAGAGAACATCTGACGGGGATGCTGGAGCACGGAGGCACAAAGAAGAGCCCCCTGGCTGTAACAGCCCCCAAGCAGACTCAGAATTAATTTCTAAATGTCTCCACTGATTTCCACACTGTAGATTAATCCAAGTCAAATACTGAACAGTATTATTGTAACTCTTACAAATTAAAAACACTCATTATTAATAAATCCTCACGTCAGACCTCTTTTCTTCTACAGTAACAAGGGTAATACATGGGGCTGTGCCACATAAATAAAAGGAAAACAAAAGACTCTCAAGCAGAAGCAGATCTCTCAGATCTCTTAAAAAAACACCCACTATTCCACACCCCAGAGCTGGGCCCACCTGGTCTTACCTGTTCAAAGCCAGGCTCATTATGATAGGGGTTCTCAGTCATCAGGGACTGGATGGAGATGAGCACGGAGGAGATGCTCTGGGCTGGGCTCCAGGCAGGGCCAGTCCACGTACTGCAAACACATCAGAGGGAAGGGAAGAGGGTGAGGCAGAGAAGGATCAGAGAACAAGTAACCTGGGGCTTGGCAGCACCACTACAAGTGACTCACCATAAGTTTCTCTTTCACTATTAATACTCTGCAATTTCCCAGCCTCTATCTTACCCTTATTCATCAGAAATCAGTCAAATGGCTAATCCTCATACCAAGTGCGACAAACAAAAAGAGGGTAAAGCAAGTAATATAACTTTGAAGGGACTGTCTTTGAGCTAGACAAGAAACAGTAGCCAGGAAAGGTTACCATAATCCAAACAAAGACATAAGGTAAGAAAAGAGCTCCAAAGGTTGTCTAAATGTTAACCTCTATGGACCTCAAAGAGCTTACTTTTGGGTGGTGAAAGAGTTAGTGAGGGGAGAGGGAAGTTGAGCACAGAGGCACACAGGTGACTGAAGCCATCTGGTTAGAGGTTATGTGGTGGGGCTGGTGATCAGGGATCCAGTTCTGTACCAAGCCCCCAAGGAGTGTCAAATTCTCTAAAGACAACACAACTCTGCCAAAGGACAGGAAGATAGTAAGGGGCACTTCCAGACCATGAAGGATCTGAAAATGATATATGAGAAACATCTCAAAGATGGTAAGAAATATCAAAATGGCTCCTCTCTTTCGTAAACCTGATCAATTATTATGGGGAAGGGGCAGCTTAGACGTTAATGACATTTATTTTTAGCTCAACTGGAGAGATGGCACCAAAGCTGGAAGCTGAACACAACCTGAGCCAGGACTGGCTTATTCAAGTTAATCGGCTACTTCCCTTTCCCTACTGTACTTGAGGAAAGCCCAAGTCAGTGACGTGTAATAGTAACTTCGTCAGGGCTGCTCTCCCGTGCCTCTCAACCCGCTGTCTCTCAGCTTTGCCCCCCCAGGAGCTCTACACCACCTATTCTCTAAGGCTTTACAATAGGGTCAACTCTCATTGTTTCTTTTGTCAGTGAGTCAGCCTAACAGTGTTTTCTAGGTAGACAGGGAAGAAATGAGACTGATAAACCTAATATAGTCAACTAAGAACACATGGGAATTTTCTATTCTGTCATTCTTTGTGGCAAATCTTCAATTTCACGGTAGCTTCCCCTTTTCCACCCAACACACTTCTGCTACTTTTACCCCCACCATCTGACTTCCCCTGTTTCTACAGTGAGCACATCTGCTCAAAAGAGTTTTATATTGGCCTAATGAGGGAGAACCTACTACAAACACACTTTCATGAAGAAATTTCATACAGAAGTAATGACTAAATGTCCTTATCACCCTGGGTTTTATCCTACCGGCACAGACAACTAAGTATCCTAACGAGATGAAGGACTTCCTCAAGGACAATCTCCTTTAAAAGACTTCATCACTGCCAAAACCACAGCAGAACATATCCCTCGATCTGAGAGAGTTCTAGAAAAATGAATTATGTCCCTAGTGTGTTACAGGGCCTTTCCCTCACACAAACCTGAAAACGTGCTAAACAGAAGAAGACACGATCATCAGTTTGGGCAACTTTCTCAATTTCAACTGCACTTGTTATCTGCCCCATGGAAATTCACACCACAGTAAAAAGACCAATCCAAAATATGCCAGAAGACATTTCGATGATGAATTTTTAACCCCCAAAGGCAACTAAAATAGAATGAATGGAAACTCTGTGAAGCAAATTCTCAGGAGCACCCAGAAAGAAGATGTAATTGAAACTTCTGTTTCATATCTGATGATTTCCCATCTCAGACATTTGTCATTCAAGCGTTAAAATACCATAATCATCATCACCACCACCGCCTCCAAGCCACTCCTTGAGAGACTCAGAAACAAGACATCCACAATCTTGAATGGCACAGATCTGCAGCCTTTCTCAACCTGTTCAGGAGAGACTAGGCCCCAATGGCCTAAGGGAGTGGTTCTCAAACTGGAATGTGCACCAAAATTACCTGGAGGGCTTATAAAAAACCAGATTACTCGTCCACCCCAACCCCAGTTTCTGATACAGGTCTAGGGTCGGGCCGCAGAATCTGGATAGCTATAAGTTACCAGATGCTGCTCCTCAGGGACCACACTTAGAGAACCATTTCACAAGACATCCATTGTATGTCAATAAATTAACTTCTCTCCTTTGCATTTAGAATGATAATAGTCATGTACCACCTGGGGAGAATTGAGAAGAATCACTCAATCGTTTTCTGTGTTCTATGGTTCAGATGAAGAACCTTGGTTGATAAAGGCTGGCCTAGAGTAATTATTTGCTAACAAGCAACTTGGCTACTTAGAAGTCTCCTCTTACCCTAGAATACTCAAGCAGACTTTCCCATTGCGGTAGAAGTTGGGGTTAAACCTCACTGTGTTATTGCCCGTTGTCATCAGTTTGACCCGAGGTGGGTGGATGGGATAGTCGGGCGGACACCGAAACACGAACAGGAAGAAACCCCCTTCATAAGGAGTGTCAAATGGGCCTGTGATCAATGCATGAATCTGCAAAATAAAACCCCATCTCAAAATTGTGAGGTGATGACCCACCCCAATCCCTCCTGGCTTCCACCTGCTACCCACACCAGAAGCAGGGCCCAAAGTCTGTATACATGTTCTGTATCCTCAGCAAGCAAAATGAACATCCTGTACTCACTCATACCAATAGGCAGGTTTGGAATTTTAAGAAATCCCATTACAGTGGAGTGACATTTTACTCAGGGGTTACTTCTAAGTTATATCCTAATGTGAAAACTGCATCTAGTCAAAATCATCCTTGAGTATCCCTTAAAATTTCTGTAAAGCACGGCTTTGGTGTGGACCTCCCTGGTCATAGTTATGTATAACAAATGGATAAAACACCAATGTGCAAAATATAACATGCATCTGTAAAATATAATCCTAGCCTTTTTTTTTTTTAAAGATAGGGTCTCACTTTGTTGCCCAGGCTAGAGTGCAATGGCATTATCGTAGCTCGTGGCAATCTCAAACTCTCGGGCTCAAGCAATCCTCCCATCTCAACCTCCCAAGTAGCTGGAACTACTAGCATGTGTCACCATGCCTGGCTAATTTTTTTGTTTAGTAGAGATGGTGGTCTCACTATGTTGCTCAGGTTGATCTCAAACTCTTGGCTTCCAGTAATCTCTTTCACCTCAGCATCCCAAAGTGTTAGGATTACAGGCGTGAGCCACTGTAGTATTTTTAAGAAATCAGCACGGATTTTTACTGAGTATGTACATCTGGATTTGTTAAACATGCATATGGTACAACTCTACCCTACATTTATGTGACACAAAGGGGAGGTAAGATCAAAGGAAAAGAGGAAAGGGATTAGGAGCCACAGCACCAGTAACAGTATAGAGCTGAGGGTAATGATGGATGCCTAGGGTAGCTGCTTGCTTCCTCTGTAGAGGACCAAACCTACTGTGGAGGATGTGGCTCAGGCAGCACAACCTGACTGAAAATGGGGAAGACTCAGGGTCTGCTCGGAGCCATCCCTAGAACTTTCCCCTATACTGTTGGTTTAAAAAAAAAAAAAAATCATCAGCAGCGAAAACAAAACACTAAATTCTCTTTTTCTACAAGCCACAATTATTGAATAAGATTTCCCTTCCTGAAAACCTATACTGATTCAGTTATACTTCTTCTACAAAGGCTCCTGAGCATTTAGTTATGCTCAGAATTCAAACAGCAAGAGGAAAATGGACATAGCAATCCAATGCCTCAGTCTTCAGTCCCTACCTTGCCCTGGCACGGTCCTAGATTATATTAATATTTTAGCCCTCAACTATTTAGAATAGCAAACTCAACTAGTCTCAACATGGCATCAATTCTGGGACCCCAGGGACTAGCGCATTAACACTGGTACTTGACTGAGAACAAGATGTCCTAGGGAAAACATTTTCAACCACATAAAAAGAAAAAAAAAATCAATTTGAAGGGAAGCCTACTCAAAACAAAAAAACATGTATCAACAATACCAAATCTCAATTTTTACGTGTAAGAAATTTGAAACTATGTTTTCACTTAAACTATACCAGATTTAGGAAATCTGGTTTATTCCCAACATTGGTTTAAGTGCAAGTTGACTTCAGAGGGTAGAGCACTCAGTGACAGAGAAGCCTAGGCACTCATACTAGAGAAATCCGACCTTATGTACTAAACTTTCTGTGTGGAGGACAAGAGAGGAAGAATCTTTGGGGTGGAAGGGGTATTCAAAAGCAACCAGTAAGAATAGGCACTTGAACAAGGTTCTTTAACCACAAACCCTTCAGTCAAGCTGGACCTATCCCCAACCTTCCCTTTATCTGCATTATAGTACATAGTCAAGGTCAAGAGTATTGGGATGGGGGAAGAGCTGGGTAGTACAATGGATAGGGTGATCATATAATTTATCATCCAAACTGGAGTACACCTGAGAGTGAAAGAGTGCCTACCCTATAGTTAAGCTGGGATAACAGGTATGAACTGGGATTTTTCCAAGCCAATCAGTACCCATGTGCACCCTAAAAAAAGACACCCGTTCAAAGCTCTGCTGTATCTATGTGACCCTGGGCAAGCCACTTACTCTCTCGGACTCTTGATTTCTTCATCTATGTAATCAAAAAGTTGAATAATCTCTTTTAGGCCCTTCAAACTATTATAGCCCCAATTTCCCAAAAAACCCCAACCCCCCATCAAGTTACATACCTTAGTCATGTCAACAGTATCAGGTACAACGAACATTCCTGGAGGAGGCTCCTTATAAATGGACATGATATCCCTGTATAATACCAAAAGGAGGTGGGGGAAAGAGTGAGGGAGAGGGGAAAAAGGGGAATCCCTTGAGCAGGACAGTTGTCATCACTTCAATAAGACTGGGGGTCGAGAAAGTGGTGCTTGGTACCACAAGTGTTTGTACTATCTTGTTGGCTGAGAAATCTCAGCTGAGTACTTGTCAGGCAGGCAGAGAGCAAATTATTATCAAAGGGGCATTGTTTCCTCAGGGAGAGGGCACAGAGAGGAAAAAAAATCAGAAATCCCAATGGCATCAGATGTCACCCTGGAAAAGCCACATCCCACTTACTCTCACTTCCTCCCACACAGCAATTCATTCACTTCCCACGTCTGAAATTCCCAGGTACTACAGCTGAATGATAAATGAAGATTTCTTAGTAACTAGAAAGGCATAATCAACTCTACTATAAAACTAATTCACGAAACTATACAGTGGACCCTTGTTAGTAAGGGATTTATGAAACAAGTGAGCCAGCAGCAGGGAGCACAACCATCATGGCGGTATTCATGCACAGGAGACTAAGGGTAGAGATCTCTTCAGATTGGGGAGAGCAGGACCCTCAGAAATTGCTAATAATCTCTCATCTGGATGATGACATGTGGTGACTTTCACAGGAGATGAAAGGATTTCTGGGTCATTATCTCACCAACTGGAATGACTCAGTTGAGAGCAAGGAGCTAAAGACGAACATTCTAGGTGGGAAAAACTCTAGGGACTTGCTAGAGTGGGTAGGGACATAAAAAGGACAAATAGGTGACACAGCAAAGAAGTACTGGCCATATTCGAAGGTATGTCAGGATTAGATGACTGGAAAGGCTAAAGGAGGACAAGAGTTGAGTGATGAGTTGAAGTTTGAGGTGGTAATCGCTACAGAGTTGGCGTCCCGTGTCAGGCACTGTGCCAGGTACTTTACACACATTGTTAATTTTTATTACAAACTTGAAAAGTAGGTAGAGACACATCTGAAGGGACTTGGAATGTGTGGGATAATAATTAGATGAGGATGCTTGTAATGGGGGCATGGGGAGAAGGCTGGTCAGTAGGAAACAGGTTTCTGGATTGAAAGCAGCTAAACAGTATTCTCCTTTTCCTACGCAAGAGGTACTATGCTAAGCACTTTTGCAAGACATTATCTATTAGATGATATGATCTAAGATTAGTCACCCAAGAAATAAGCACAGAAAGGACTTAGGCCTTTGTTCCTATATTTGAATTAAGTGTATTTGCTTCAGAAAAGTAAACCAGATGACCTGGGGGAGGGGGGAAATACAAGAAAGAAGGTCCGGAGTGGGATATCACAATCCAGACTGGCACTGGGGGAGGAGGAGGGGGAAGCCTGAGTTTCTGGAACAGAAGTGAGAGTGGACAGTTTTGGGGTACTGGAAAAGGGGTTCAAGGGAAAATTTGGGTGAGGGGAGTGGTCTAGACTCGGGGAAAAGACTATGTGGAGGGGGTCTGAGAAAACAGGATAAAAACTGTTTTATAGTTAAATAGATAAAAACTGGCTGGAGTCTGAGGCAGGGCAAAGAAAACTGAGAGTGTATGTGTTACAAACGGGGCTACAGAGGGGACGAGGGGGGACCGACGGGTGGAGCCTGCGGTCAGCATCTAGCAAGGCTGAGGTGGGGAAGGGGAAAGAGGGGCGGCGCGGAGGGCGGGAGGGGGCGTTACTGAAGCGCGAAAGGGTCGGGTTTCGGGCGGGAGGTAGGGGAGCGAGGGGAAGGGTGTCCGGAATGGAGACGGAGGGCTCATGGGAGGTTGTCGAGGGGCGGGGTCAGATCTAGGCACGCGAGGAGGGGTTTGGTGCTTCTGGGGCTGGGGGCGGGGGGGAGAAGGGACTCGAATCCCGACGCTCAGAGCTGGAAAGATTTGGGCCCAGGAGTTGGGCCGCGGGGAGCAAAGCGCGCCGGGTGGGGGGTGAGTTGTAGCGGGAAAGGGTAGGGGGTGGGGAAGGTCGAGTCCCGGGGCTTGGGGCTGGAGGAGGAAAAACCCCGGCTCACCGCTTGATCCGGAGTAGACACTGCGGCGCGGTGCGCTCGCCGTCCCAGTCGGAGCTGAGCGTGGGGTCCCAGTGGCTAAGCAGCGCGGCCCCGTGGGCAGCGGCCGAGGGCGGGAGCCCGGGCAGCGGAGCCAGGCCGCTCCCCGGCCCCCCGGCCCCGCCCGCTGCCGCCGCCGCCGCCCACACATCCGGCAGGAAAGGCGGCCCGAACCCGCCGCTGCTACCGCTAACGCCAACAACACCAGCAACGCCGCTTGCCCCGGGGCCAGCCGCCCCGGCGCCGGCCGTCGCCGTCGCAGCCTCCTCAGTCGGACTCTCCGCCATAGCTGCTTCGCTTCCGGGACTACTCGGCAGCACGTCCGCCGACCAGAGCGGCCGCTGCTCCCGCCCGCTCCCGCACCACCGAGAGCCGGGCCAGAGTGTCCCCACCCTCCGCTTCCACAGCCCAGGCGGTGCTGGCTCCGCCCACCCCCGCCCCGACCAGCGAGAGGCACTCTGCAAGAGCGTCCACCCACGGTCCTCCAGGGCGGGCGGGGTAGGAACTAGCCGGGCGCCAAGGTTCTGGGCCCGTATTGGTCCTGCGCCGTGCAGGAGGAGCTGAGAGCCCAATTCCATGGAATATTTTGTTTTCTAGTGTTGAGAGGGGAGGAGAAAGTTGGAAGGAGGGGGAGGAGGGCCACGTCCTCCCCAGTTAGCGGCAGCGACCCTCAGACGTGCCCAAGGAGTAGGATTGGAGATCCAGCTTCCCTGTAGGAATCTCCGAGTAGATGAGTTGACTCGCTTAGAGCCCTGCCTGTCCGAAAGGCTCTGTGATTGATCCTTCTTCCCTGTACCCTCATCCACCAAGGGCACGCTACCGTTGCCCCCTGCCAACAGGACCAAGGGGAAAAGAAAGAAGGATGAGAACTTGCAAATGAAAAGCCACCTCTTTTAGAGTATATTTAACATATATTTATGAAGGGCCTACTAAATGCCAGACACTGTTGCTAGGCATTGCCATAGGGACAAGGAAACAGAACTAGAGGAGCTTGGCAAAGTGAAGAATATTCGGGCCTTCTGACTCCAAGCTCAGTACTTTTTCTTCCCACAAATTTGGAATATACAGGAATCAAGGAACTGGAAGTATAAATCCAGAGAGATGTCTTAGGATTTTTCCTGAGATATGTAAAGTGAAAAATAATTCTAGACTATTCTATGGACTAAGAAGAACAGAGGCCTTCTCAAAAAAATTTTTTCTTTTCTCCTTAGCAAGAAAATAGGCTCATAATACTATCTGGAACCCACTGGGGCCAGATGTGTTTCAGAATTTAGAGTGGCACCCCCAGGAGGGCATGGGGCAGCACCCAGTCACCAAACACATTATTTCTGCAGCAGAATGTATGAATATTCATACTTAGATGAATAGCCTCACTTTGGATTACATTTTGCCACCAAATTGTTTTTTAAAAAAGAAGTCTGGGCCGGGCGCGGTGGCTCACGCCTGTAATCCTAGCACTCTGGGAGGCTGAGGCGGGCGGATTGCTTGAAGTCAATAGTTCAAAACCAGCCTGAGCAGGAGCAAGACCCCGTTCTACTATAAATTGAAAGAAATTAATTGGCCAACTAATATATATATAGAAAAAATTAGCCGGGCATGGTGACGCATGCCTGTAATCCCAGCTACTCGGGAGGCTGAGGCAGGAGGATTACTTGAGCCCAGGAGTCTGAGGTTGCTGTGAGCTAGGCTGATGCCATGGCACTCACTCTAGCCTGGACAACAAAGCAAGGCTCTGTCTCAAAAAAAAAAAAAAAAAAAAAGATGCAAAAATCAAGGCTGGTAGGGGGACAATTAACATCCCAGTTAGGTAGTGGCAGGGCTGGGATTTGTGCTTCTGTCTGACTCCCAAGCCCATGTTCTTTGCCACCATGCTGACCTCTTAAGGCAGTGTTCCTAATTGTTTTTGGTCACTACTCCTTTGAAAATATATTAACAATGGACCCTCTTCCAAGAATAATGCATTTCTGCATCCACTCACAAATACTTTGCACTAAGTTACGGGTCCCTTTCAAGTGCCAGTCCATAGACCCTAGATAAGGAAACTTAATGATAAAGTGATGGGACTAACTAGCCTGGTTGGAGGTAAAGGAGCATTCTCCCCCAATCTGCTAGGGCTCCATGGGCTCACCAACCACATTCCCAACTCTGCTGATTTGGGTTTGTAAATCCATCCATTCCAAGGCTGTTTGGAGCCCTCAATGAAGGGAAACTCTTACCAGCCTCTTGATAAAACCTGGATTCCTGGCCGGGCGCGGAGCTCACGCCTGTAATCCTAGCTCTCTGGGAGGCCGAGGCGGGCGGATTGCTCGAGGTCAGGAGTTCAAAACCAGCCTGAGCAAAAGCGAGACCCCGTCTCTACTATAAATAGAAAGAAATTAATTGGCCAACTAATATATATATAGAAAAAATTAGCCGGGCATGGTGGCGCATGCCTGTAGTCCCAGCTACTTGGGAGGCTGAGGCAGTAGGATTGCTTGAGCCCAGGAGTTTGAGGTTGCTGTGAGCTAGGCTGACGCCACGGCACTCACTCTAGCCTGGGCAACAAAGTGAGACTCTGTCTTAAAAAAAAAAAAAGAAGTCTGGTTTTTAGAGCTTTGTGAATTTCCAATAATGGACTGCAGAACTGAATGAAAATGGCCAACATTTATTGAGAGCTAAAAATTTATTTTTTAGCTGACAATGAATGTTTAGTATGTATCAGGTACTTTGTATACTTTATCTTTATTCCTTTCAACAGCCCTGTGAAGTATTATTATTAATAATAATACTGTTCTGATAGATGGAAAAATAGTGGCTTACAGAGGTCCACTCACTTACATGGGTCACACTGAGTGCAATTGGCCGAATTGGGTCTGTAAACCAAATCTGTCTGAATGACTCCAGGAAACAAGTCCTAACCACTATGTGATACTGTCACTGCTTGGACCTCTCCTACGCTTAATGTGCTTTACCTTGTACTAATTATGGTCCTTTGGTATTTGTTGCCCCCACCACCTGTAATACACACACACCGAGTGCGCTCTCACACACACAAATTCATACCCTTAGGGCTCCAGACCATGTGTTATCTGTGAATCTAGCACAGGGCTTGGCACAGCTTAGGTACTTAACATGAAGTGAAATGAATTGATAAAATAGTTTATAGAGATTTCATGGGTTTTTTGTTTTGTTTTGTTTTTGAGAAAGAGTCTCACTCTGTTGTTCTGGCTAGAGTGCTATGGCATCTGCCTAGCTCACAGCAACCTCAAACTCCTGGGCTCAAGCAATCCTTCTGCCTCAGCCTCCCAAGTAGCTGGGACTACAGGGATGTGCCACTATGCCTCGCTAATTTTTTCTATATGTTTTTAGTTGTTCAGCTAATTTCTATTTTTAGTAGAGACGGAGTCTCACTCTTGCTCAGGCTAGTTTCAAACTCCTGACCTTGAGTGATCCTCCTGCCTTGGCCTTCCAGAGTGGTAGGATTGCAGATTTTATGTTTTGTTGGCATAGTGTTTTATCACTAGAATAAAGATGCCAGAACCTTTATGAAACGATACACAAGAAACTGTTGACAATGGTTGCCTCTGGATGGTTGACCATAAGGTGTGCTAAAGGGAATATAGTTAGTTTCTTGTACCTTTTGAATGTTGTGTTGTGCATTTAATGCCTATTCAAACTATATGCTTTATTCATTTTTAAAGGATTCCAGAATTTTACCTGGGTATTATTTATTTAGCAAGGTGGTTAAGGGTCAACTTGCTGGGGAACCTCACATAAGGAAAAACACTACTCCATAGCTCCTCCATGGCTACAGACTTCGGAGGCCCAAAGATGGCCCATGGGGTTAGTGGATTTTTCAGTGTATCTTCTCACCCCTACTGGACCATTGTTTTCAAGTACAAGTTCTGGTAGTGATGGGGCAATGAACAGAAAACCCACCTTAGATTCAGAAGGAGGTTCAAGTTTTAAATCTGTGCCTATTTCTGCATCTATAGAATAGTGATAATTCCTACTTCTCACGGTTTTTCTGAGGATGAAGTGTGACATTTCCAGAGTGTTTTCTAAAGTTGCAAGCATTGTATAAATATTTGGCACCTCACTTGCTCCTGAACCTTCCCTCCAGGCCTTTGCTGGTGGTATTTTCTCTACTCTTTCCCTCTACTTTACCAGGGGAAATCCTAGTTATTTAACCTCTCTGAACCTCTGTTCCTTGCCAGTAAAACGAGGAAAATAATAGTAGCTACTAGGAAGAGATAATCTGATAATGAATGTGCACAATGTCTGGCCAGGGGAAATGCTCAATAATTATTAACTCTTTTTATTTCTTACTGATTCTTCAAGGCTGGCTGAATATTACTTTCTCTGCCAAACCTTAACACTTCCAGGCATATTATTATTTTTATTATCATTAGTCATTTTTAATTACTCCCTCCTCTGGTTCTCACGGCTGCTTATTCATACCTTTATTATAGCACATTTTATTTTAGTGGTTTAGTTACTCATCCATCTGGCCACTAGATATGACCTCCTCTAGGGCACGAAGTATAGGACACCTATCTTTGCATCTCTAGGACCTGACATGCAGCAGGTGCTGTGTAAATGCTGAACAGAATGGAAATGAGGACATGGTAGCTAGTTGTCCTTCCCCTGGCTATAGATCTTTAGAATTTACCTCCTCAGTTAGGCCTATTTTCTTTCCAAAGGGCTGAGCCAAGCTTGCACAAAGAACCTGTAAGACAAGGCCTGAAGGACTGCAGGGGATGGCAGCTGCTTAAAGGAGCAGCTCACCACCTACCACAGAAACTCCGGAGCCTCTAAGCTGGCGGGGAGGAAGAGCCAGATAGAGGCTGGCAGAATGTTAGCTGGCACTGCTTGGTCCAGTGCAATACCTGGCTGCTTTCCACTGGCAGCTTGGGCTGAGGGCAAGTGTGCTTTTTGAAGCCACTCCTGTGTCCTCTGGGAATAGTTGACGTAACTGAGCAGGCTTCCTGTAGGAACCTGGATTGAAGCCTCTCTCCTCCCCAGGGCTGGATTACCCTGCACTGGGCCATCTTTTGGTGCAAGAGTTGGGTAGCACCTTTTTTATGTCACTCAGGCAAGTGCCCCCTCCCCAAAGAGGCTGGCAAGTGTCCTTGAGTTCAACCCTATCTAAAAAGATACACTGTGAAGATCCTTTCCCTTCTCTTCCCCAGGGTCCTGTGTCCCGTTGCCCTCTGGGTAGTCCTTCCCCTCCATGGCCCAACCTTTTTTCTTGGCTCACTGCCAGGAATAAATGAAAAGAGTTCCCACTGGGTCATAAATCCTAGACTAAAAGGAAAAATCAGGACTTGGATGAATGTTTTGAGGCTTCTGATTATAAGTAATAATAGCTATATATATATTTTTTAAGCCTAGTCAAGTGCAGTAGTGAGGAAGGGAAATAATAGCTATATTTAATAATGCCTGTATTATGTTATCTCATCATTAGCTATCTCTTATTTATATATCTTAACATATATTACATGTATCTCATTCATAGTGTACTTGTACATTAATAGTGTAAATATTACACATATTATCTCATTATTTGCATATATTACCTATATTTTCTCATTTTATTGTCACAACTACCACAAATTATTTTTTTTAGGAGATGGGGTCTTGGCTGGGCATGGTAGCTCACACCTGTAATCCTAGCACTCGGGGAGGCTGAGGCAGGAGGATCACTAGAGGTTAGGAGTTCAAGACCAGCCTGAGCAAGAGCGAGACTCCATTTCTACCAGAAATAGAAAAATTAGCCAGGCATGGTGGCTTACGCCTGTAGTCCCAGCTACTCGGGAGGCTGAGGCAGGAGGATCGCTTGAACCCAGGAGTTTGAGGTTGCTGTGAGCTAGGCTGATGCCATGGCACTCTAGCCTGGGCAACAGAGTGAGAGTCTGTCTCAAAAAAAAAAGAGATGGGGTCTTGTTATGTTGCCCAGGCTGGTCTTGAACTCCTGGCCTCAAGTGATTCTCCTGCATCAGCCTCCCAAGTAGCTGGGATTACAGGTACAAGCCCTGTGCCCAGCCAATCACTGCAAATTGTTCTTATCCTCATTTTATTTTATTTTTTTATTTTATTTTCGAACCCTCAAGGTTACATTGTTGGTCAATCTTATCCTCATTTTAAAGATGCAAAAATCACCCGGGGGCGGTGGCTCATGCCTGTAATCTTAGCTCTCTGGGAGGCCAAGGTGGGCGGATTGCTCGAGGTCACGAGTTTGAAACCAGCCTGAGCAAGAGCAAGACCCCATCTCTACCATAAATAGAAAGAAATTAATTGGCCAACTGATATATATAGAAAAAGTTAGCCGGGGCATGGTGGCACAGCTGGGACCTGTAGTCTCAGCTACTTGGGAGGCTGAGGCAGCAGGATTGCTTGAGCCCAGGAGTTCGAGGTTGCTGTGAGCTAGGCTGACGCCATGGCACTCACTCTAGCCTGGACAACAAAGCAAGGCTCTGTCTCAAAAAAAAAAAAAAAAAAGATGCAAAAATCAAGGCTGGTAGGGGGACAATTAACATCCCAGTTAGGTAGTGGCAGGGCTGGGATTTGTGCTTCTGTCTGACTCCCAAGCCCATGTTCTTTGCCACCATGCTGACCTCTTAAGGCAGTGTTCCTAATTGTTTTTGGTCACTACTCCTTTGAAAATATATTAACAATGGACCCTCTTCCAAGAATAATGCATTTCTGCATCCACTCACAAATACTTTGCACTAAGTTACGGGTCCCTTTCAAGTGCCAGTCCATAGACCCTAGATAAGGAAACTTAATGATAAAGTGATGGGACTAACTAGCCTGGTTGGAGGTAAAGGAGCATTCTCCCCCAATCTGCTAGGGCTCCATGGGCTCACCAACCACATTCCCAACTCTGCTGATTTGGGTTTGTAAATCCATCCATTCCAAGGCTGTTTGGAGCCCTCAATGAAGGGAAACTCTTACCAGCCTCTTGATAAAACCTGGATTCCTGGCCGGCGCGGAGCTCACCGCCTGTAATCCTAGCTCTCTGGGAGGCCGAGGCGGGCGGATTGCTCGAGGTCAGGAGTTCAAAACCAGCCTGAGCAAAAGCGAGACCCCGTCTCATAATAAATAGAAAGAAATTAATTGGCCAACTGATATATATATATTAT